TTTATATATTGTAGGGTTCACTTTGAGTATTTTTTTGTAGGCCGACGGCGTTTTACTAATGACAATTTCAAGAGATATCTATCAATCAAATAAGTAAATAGGTGAATCATCAGATACTGTTATTTATATTTTTATTGATTTATTGATAAATTTTGCTGAGGTGACACTCTTCATATCCGAGCAAATATTTCGTAAACCCTATATTGAATGAAAAAATATTCAATTTGATATTATATTATGATGAACAGTGCTTGTACAGAAAAAAAAAATACTGATGATGTGCTACTGATTTGGAGTAGCAGATCATGATATCAAAATTATTTGCCTCCATAAGATGATATTTTCTGACGGAATAACTGAGACAAGACATCAATTGAAGAAAATTCGAAGAAAATCTGTTCAAAGTAAATAAATATTTCTCTAATCAATAATTTGTATATATATAGCGCTGGCTATTTACCTCAGTCATCTGTACAAGGCTCGGTACAAGGCGCTTCCAAGCAGATCCGTTTCATTATAAAAGATAAATTTATACGCATATTTGGAGATAGTTAGGGGCAGTTTATTGAAATTAACAGAATATGATGTCATTCAATCAGCTCTTGGGCCTAAACGGCTCACTTCAGCAAAAATATACTGAGGACATTTTTTGTAGAAAATTTCTTCATCTTAAATTTTTATGTCTTCACATTTTTTTTAAAAACGCACCGTTTTGGAGATATTTTCAAAAAACCGTTTTTGACCGCCATCTTGGCAAGATGGCGGCGCCGGCGGCATGTCCCGGAATGTGCATTTCGTGAATTTTAGTTCTGGACACCCAAAACTATAATCCTACAAAGTTTCAAAACTTCCGGACTTTTTTCCAGGTAAAAATCCCCAATGACTGGCCTATAACTTTTTAAAGGAACCGACGGTCGTGATGGCGGATCCCTTCTGATCAAGTTGTCTCAAGAGACTTTGCAAAGACTATATTATCATTTCATTTTCGAGAAGAAACTAGAAATATTGCTTGAACTAAAAATGTAACCTGTCTAACACTTTCTATAGGTAGACAATTTCCTAACGCAAATTTTCTGCGAATCAAAATATTTTCATTGTTCTATAGGTACATCTTCAACGACCTAATTTGCGAATTCGAGAAATAATTGATTCCTAGTATAAACAACACACTGTATATGATCAGAAATAGTATAAAATATGTGTTCAATTGGTATTTGAAAAAAATCATGAAATTATTATATTTTTTCTGATCATAGTAGAACATCGAACGTTAATTAATAATACATAATGCCCTGTATATGATATCATTGTGAAAATTTGACCACATGTATTTTAGAGAGTTGTAGTCAGATTTCCGCCAAAAAATTTCCTGCTATTACTTACTGATTTTCTGCATTTTTATTTGTTCATAGGTGGCTGATGTGTTCAAAAGAAATGAGAGAGTTCCAGGAATGTAGATATCATTGAGTAGTACATGTTGAAAAAAAAAAATTCTTGAAGTCGGTCGCAGTGTATACGAAAATACGAAGGTGGTGCTGTTTAAAGTGGGACACACTGTATCTACCTTGGTCTGAATTGGACAATTGTGTATCACATTTTGAGCTCGATTTTATCTACTTTGCAAAATACGATTATTAGGCGTTCTGAATTCTCCCCAATTATACATTAGCATTCCATATACCGATCTGAAAATAAAATTGCGGACCATAGGTTTTTTCATGCACAGTGGAACAGATCAAATATGAAAGATTTTACGCGATGAATATAAGCAAGTCTAGCAAGTACCATTGCAAGTATTCAACTAGACGACGCTGAGCCACAGTCCCGTAGAGTGGTCTAATATCTAGTTGAATACTTGATTATCCATCGCGTATAATATTTCATATTTGAGCTGTTCCACTGTCGCACGCAAAATCCTATGGTCCGCAATTTTATTTCCAGATATCCACACATTGGGCATCCAAATAATATTCGAAGGATATCCTGTAGAGGCATGTCCAGTGGAAATATTCAAAGTACCCGCCGTTTCACCCAGATATCTAAAATATGGATATCCAGGAAAATATCAATACCTATTTGGAATATTTTATATTATATATTGATATTGTGATTTCTTCACTCATATCGACATGTGAAATACGGTAAGAAGATATGGTTTATAGGTAGGAGTTCCGATGTCTCTCTCGACCTTGATATCAAAGAATAATATTTATTGAATATTAGGATTTCGAAGTAATGATATATTAAATTATAATAGTATTAAATATTTTTTGTTCAATTTCATTATTTAATTTTAAATAATACATTGAATAATCAAAATCAAACTTTCTATTATATACCAAAAAGGTATTTGATGATCCTATCTACTTATGTTCTATCATATCTACGATTATTTTTCATATCCGAATAAGATTCAAAGCAATTTCAATTTCCTACCTGCTCTCCCTTTCTACCCCATGCACGTGCGCTCTCGATAAAAAAAATATTTCAAGAAGCTACCATCAGCCACGCCTAGACCAACCCTGTAAAGTATTCTTTACTTGCCGATTTATATCTTCTAACTAACCGGTCGCTCGATCGGTGTCTTCCGCGATAAAAAAACAAAGCCCATAAAGAAGTAAATACAGGTTCGTGGAAAGAATGCGCTTCGGATTTGAACCCAAAATGGAAGGAGCATCCGAAAATTCGACACTCAATCAAATCGAATGTAATTTAGGATTATATTAGATTGAAAACTCATTTGCATAATTTTATTAATGTGGAAATAATTAAGTATCAGGGCGCTATAAATATTTGAAGCGACACCTGTTGAAAATCTTTATAATACTAACATCGTCAACATGAAGAAACAAGAGAATTCTACATCGGTTTCTCGATGTTGGATTTTTATTCATGTTTATCACAGTTTGTTAACCGTAGCGACATCTCTTAGAAACGCCAGGCGAGTGCGGTGAATCGTTCGTCTTAATGAATATTAGTTTCTCTGCCATTCTGTGATAATTTCAAGAATTAACTTATAAAGCACCATTTCCAATTGAAAATGTTGAAGGTAAGTTTTTTCACAAGCTATGGCATATTGTACTGCATATCTAGCATATAAATCAACCAGGCGCCCGATTCTCGACATTTTTCCCATGGGAAAATTGATCAAATTCTCATAGGAATTATGATTCAGTATTCTCGACATTTGCCGGTGGAAAGTGGTCCTATGAATTTCAGTAGTATATATTCACCTGGTGTTTCTCCACACGAATTCAAATTCCAATGGGTTTTTAGTCCAGTTTGAGGTTGGAATTATCATCGTGCTAGGCTAGGTATAACAAAAATGGTATAATAAATATCATAACTTTCATGATCATAAACAAATTTAAAACTATCTAAACATGGATGAGCTGATACTTCTGATTCAACAAGACATTGTTGAAGTGGCTGAAGAAATGGCCGGAAATCCAGGAAGAGATTTTTGGACTACTTGGCAAAATGGGGATCCATTTGATCTGTTATCAGATAAACATTTCATAAAGTTATTCAGATTAACCAAACCTCTAGTACTTAATCTCATCCAAAACTTGGATAATTTTCTAGCACCTCCTACTAGAGAATCAGCACTGCCAAAAAAAATTAAAGTAAGTAAGTAAGGAACTGTATAATGGATTCATTGTTGAGTAAGACATTTAAAAAAATCAATTTCATTTATGAATAGGTACCTTGTAACATTGGAGTAACTAAGAAAATATTTTCAGGTTCTCATTGCTCTGAATTTTTATGCTGTAGGGAGCTATCAAAACAATATTGGGACAAATAAATATTTTGGTGCTAGTCAATCTTCTGTTAGCAGATGTGTTGCAGAAGTCACTAGTGCATTAAACAATCATGAAATTTTCAATCAATGGGTGTATTTCCCAAGAAATTTTCAAGAATTGAGGCTTAACAGAAGAAGGTGAGTAGAAGGACTTCAAATTACTACATTAATGTATGTACTTTAATTATTACTAATATGGTTTATTCTTATTTTGCAGATTTTATGAGGCATATGGTATTCCTGGAATAGTTGGTGTCATTGATTGTACACATGTAGCCATACATTCACCAAGTGGAGATGATTATCCTGAACACATATATGTGAACAGGAAAAACTATCATTCTATCAATACACAATTGGTAAAATTGGTACCTATATTGATAAGAACTGACCCCATTTCATATAACTTATCATTTTTAGATTTGTGATATTGATATGAAAATTATAAATGTGAATGCTAGGTATCCTGGAAGCACACATGATGCCTATATTTGGAATAATTCAAATATTAATCAACACATTCAGCAGTTGAATAGAGGTGACAATAATTATTTCTTAATTGGTGAGTTACCTCTCTAACAAGTTTATCATAACAACTATTTTGATATATTTCACATAAATACCATAGGTGATTCAGGATATCCTTTAAGAAAGTGGCTCCAAACTCAAGTGAGGGATCCTCCACCTGAATCTCCAGAAGAAGAGTATAATCGCCAATTTCGTAAAGCAAGATGCATAATAGAGAGATGCAATGGTTTATTGAAAACTAGATTTCGATGCCTACTCAAAGATAGTGTTGCATTATTCTCCAACTGTAGCATCTAAAATAATAAATGCATGTGTTGTTCTGCACAATATATGTATTGCAAATAACATTCCTGTACCAGAACCAGGTGATGAGGAACTTGATTTGGAAATGGATTTTGAAGGGCAAGTTGAAGAAGATGAATTAGTTAATCGAAATGCTGATTTACAAGAAGGAAGGAGGTTGCAACATCATATAATTAGAAATTATTTTGCTTGATTTTTTTTATGGAAATAAATTGAATTGATACTTATTGTGCTGTTCTTGAATGTAGATCTCATCATATATGATTTTCAAACACACTGAACCAACTTATAGATAAATACCTTTCTACATGTATGGTATATTTTTGTCTCATTTTTTATAGGAAAAAACTAAACTAACTAGAGTTTTGATAGGAAATTCAAAGAGAATTAAATAAATATTTATTCAGTTACAATATAGACATTCAGTCAACAAAAAGTTGTCCAAGAACAACCTGCTAACAAAAAAAAAAAACCTTTTATTCAGGTACAAATAAGACAATCTGTCAAACAAACATTATGCATTCCAGACATAAATCCCTACCACATCCAAATTAAAAAATATTAATATTTTTTTCTACAATGGTTTCTAGGGCCTTGGCTATCCTTTCCTTGGCTTCTACATCTCTAGTGTAGAGGTCTATTTTTTGTGAATAATATTTATCTTTGGAGGAAACTTTTTTCTCCGGAATCCTTGAAATATTCTGGCTCGTTTTCAATGATTCTGAGAGTCTCTTGGCTGCAACCACTCTCTTACACTTTTTATTAGTGTTTGTTTTATTAATCTGATTTGAATCCAAATTTTCTTGATCCTGCATGATCTCATTTTCTGTGGCTACTTCCTCTGTAATTTCAGAGACCATATCATCTTTATTGATGGTATAATCATAATCATGATCCTGAAATTAATAAAAATTATTGTCACTCATAATTTAAAGCATTTCCAAAACATCAGTTATTATACAGGAATACTCACAAATAGAACAACAGATTCCTGCACTAAATGATCCCCATCTACAGCTGTTGGTTCTAGCAGTTTCAATATGTTCTCATCATCTTCTGTGATAGTTTTCAAAGGTGGAACAGAAGGACCACCACCAGTACCTCTTGCATACTTTTTCATCTCACTTGTTTTCTTCTTAGTATTCTTCTTGAGATCCTGCCAAGTCTGTAAAAGAGTGATAATTATTTCAAATTCACTAATATGAAAATAGATGCAGCCCCTTCTCCATGAGGTCCATTCTTTCTGGGTTCCTGGAATACTATTAAGTTCATTGGTGATGTTCATCCACTTGTTTTTCGCGATCTTATGTGTATAGTCATTTGTGAATTTTCCAGTCCGTAGATCATGTTCTGCTTCCATGAACGAAATTAATAATTTTTTTTGCTTTTCAGACATATTATGTCCACTTTTCTTTTTATCTTCCATGATTAGAATAGAAATTGCAAAGAATAACTTTGGAAATTGCTTCTTTGTGAAAATTTTTTTTCCAGAAACCCCCAATTCTTTCTTTACACCACTACCAACTTAAATCTTTGGATCATTGTAAACCAAACCGAAGAATATCCCTGGAAAATATCAATATCTGATTGGTTGAGCACATAAACTATCACCGACATACCGTGTTTTCAATTCCACTGGGAAATAGCATTCCTATCGTGGTCGAGAATACTCTTCAAGATTCCCACGGGAATACGAACATGGGAAGCTTTACCAGTTGGAATGAATTCAACTGAAGTCGAGAATCGGGGCCCGGGAGGGGTGACGAATGCAAGAATTGTGATTTTTTAATATACCCTTCTTTTATACCGGTTTATCATGAAATGACCATAAATCTTTGACTCGAAGAAATTGAAAATAATATTCCTCCTATATTTTTTCCAGGGAGCAGTAAGCTTAGTAACTGGAGGAGCTTCAGGTTTAGGCAAAGCAACTGTTGAAAGGCTGGTTCAGCAAGGATCTAAAGTTGTTTTGTGTGACCTACCTGCCTCCAAAGGCAATGAAATTGCCAAGAGCATTGGGGAAGATCAAGTCATTTTTGCACCAGTTAATGTAAAAATCAAAATGATTTCAGTCATAGAATATATCTGACAATTTGTTCTTGTAGGTAACTTCTGAGGAAGATGTCAAAAATGCTCTATCACTAACAAAAGAAAAATTTGGAAAACTGAATAGTGTTGTCAACTGTGCAGGAATAGGTGTGGCTTTCAAGACATATAATTTCAGAAAGAAATCACCCCACTCATTAGAAGATTTCACCAGAGTTTTAATGGTACATAACAACCTCAAAAAATTATATTTTTCCCATCATGAATGTTTAAGGTTAATACTGTTGGCACTTTCAATGTGATCAGGCTTTCTGTTGGACTGATGGGAGACAATGAACCTGATCAAGTGGGAAGTCGTGGAGTTATTGTCAACACAGCTAGCATTGCTGCTTTTGATGGGCAAATGGGCCAAGCTGCCTATTCAGCAAGTAAAGGAGCTATAGTTGGCATGACCCTTCCAATTGCTAGAGATTTAGCCACTGATGGCATTAGGGTTGTAACAATAGCACCAGGTAAAAATTAAAAATATATCACATGTTTTCCTCAGGATGTACACTTCAAATTCTTATTTTTTTTAGGTCTTTTCAAAACTCCTTTGTTTGATTCTTTACCAGAAAAAGTTGTTGCATTTCTAGAAAAATCTGTTCCTTTCCCTTCAAGGTTGGGATATCCAGAAGAATATGCTCAACTAGTGCAAAGTGTAATTGAGAATCCCATGTTGAATGGAGAGACAATCAGACTGGATGGTGCACTCAGAATGCAGCCATGAAAAATTATTGAACATTTTGAAATCATACTGTTTGGTAGGAAGATTAAACTTATACTTTTGAAAAATCATACATGAGTTAGTTTATTTATGTGACTTGGGCTTGGGAGGGGAACAAAGATTGATTTGAAAAATAGTCCAAAATCACAAGTTGATTACATTTTGCCCATATCATTTCATCAAAAAACTTTGTGCTTCTGTGTTTTATTCAGGAAAATAAGAATTTAAGGATGAAAATTTGAACTAACCAGTAAATACTAGTCAAAAGTTGATAAGAATGGTTCACTATTATTTTTTCATTGGATACTGTGATCCTACCTATAGCAGTGGCGGCTCCTTAGAGGAGGCAACGGAGGCTGAGCCTCCTCAGAGATTCTCCTTAAACTGATATTATCTATAATTTCTCATTAGAAGGAACACCAAAATACATCGATTTTGATTTTATTTCCTGTCTAGGTAAATATTTTTGAATTGGCAACAGTGCTTGCCCACGCATCACACGTCGATGTCTGCAAATCACGCGTAAAATATTCAACTTGGCAACATCTATAGGAGGCTATAGACTCCTTCACAACGCGCAACCCACGCGCGCAATGCAAATGCGCGAATACGCCGGAATAACACGTTTTTGTCGTGTCGCGTCGCGAATCGCGGGCAATCCAGCGCGAGTGCATTGTTTATGTTCATGTTAGGTTGATGGTTAGGGGAATAGGGGCTCTATAAATTTCTAAAAAATTATTGTTTTAAACGATTGCGATTTTGTGGAATACTTTTTGGTGAACCCATTCAGTGCTTTGTCTTATGAAGATGAATTGATTGTGAAAAACAAACGTCCGACACCGGAACTAAAAAAATCTGATTGTAACAGGTAGGTAACAAACAAAATCGTTTGTTCAATTCTGATAATTACAAAAAATATATCTGGTTGACGGGATCTGAGGTAAGGAATAAGCTATTTTGTTGGTACTGCGTATAATTTTCAACCGATAAGTCATCAAGTTGGGGGCGATTAGGATATAATGATTTGAAAAATTTGCCTCGCGGATTGCATAGACACTGCAAATCACAGGAACATATCTCTTCAAGTATAAGTTCAGGTTAACTGGTAAACAGAATGTCATTGAAGCTATTGATTTGGGTGAGTCGTAAATCTCATATCATTCAGCCTCCTCTGTCATGAAAGTCACGAGCCGCCACTGATCATTATAGTTCCCTAGTTTTCTGTTGATAGAAATGGTAGATAAATTTCCATTACAGTTCCTCCCCATTGGCCCATTATGTTTTGTTTTTGAGGGTACTGCCGGTACTGGTGATATTAGAAAGGAGTGACAAATAAGAATGAATATGTAAAAGGCTCAATAAAAAAATTACTAATATGGAACGATTTTTGTAGATAAAACATTTATGCACATCCTAGCTCTATATGCAGTGAAATATGAAAATAGGGACTGGTTTACCTAGAAGGAGATATTCAAACTAGTTTATGAAACTTCATATATAAGTAAATGCTTTTTTCAGTATTTCATTATGAAATCCAGTTCCTGTCTCATAATAGCTCTAAGAATTTCAATTATATTCTTGCATGATAACACACATCAACATTCAATTTGAAATCCTGTATTTGTATTTTGAATCATTCAATTATATATGTTGAAACTATCCACCCCCAGACAAAAATGTCACTCATTCAGGTTTCACATCCATTCCTGGATTAATGCCAGATAGTGGTATGGTACTCTCTAAAACTGAACAAGTTCAATCAGCTACATGATTGTGTGTACATAGATGTGAAAAATAGCTAAGAGTAGTTATTTTCTTAAACTAACCTTAGACAAGTCATCCATAGAGATTATACCCTGTTTCATAAGTTTTTTTTTCAATCTCCTATCAATGCATGGAACTTTTTGACCTCCAGTTGATGTCTTCAGTTTTGTGGATTCTGATACTGCAAATATAGAAACTTGCTGTAACCTGCGCGCATTAATATGCTACTTACTGAAATAAATTTGAAGGAAAGACAGTACACAACCTAACCTGACCCCGCAAATGTTGTTTTGCTATAATTATGTATATTATTTCTAGAAAATATTTTTTCAGTTGAATATTTCAAAACACACTTTTATTATTATTTTATCTTCTATGGAGTGTATAATCTCTGGTGCGACTAACCACCTGTTTTCTTAGTTTTTCAAACTTATATTTATTTTCTACTTCTTTTCAGTAATTCTATCTCTTCAGTTTTCTAAACTACTTTCTATTTATTTTATATTTAGTTTGGCGATCCATAAGAGAATGTTTCATTAGTTCTTTAAAACACTAAGTATATTTAATACAATGAAAACTGGCCCGCCATATTGAATCCGCCATCTAGAACTTTCCAATTTTGACAAAAGGATCATAATCTCTGACCTCAAAAACCCACAGATACCAATTTTGAATAGAATCAGATTATAATTACAAAACTCGTTTACCGTATTGGATCTGCCGCCATCTTGAATTTTCAAATTTTGAGGAATGAATCATAATATCTGACGTCAAAAACCAGCAGATACAAATTTTGAATTCGCGATAGAAAATAAGCGTACGCCACCTCTCGGAGTTCTTGAAAACTGTCAAAGCAGTATGTTTACTTTTGTTTTCATTCCTTTGCATTTGTTTTTTGTTTGTGATTATTGCCATTATTGGTCATATCTTCAAAACAAACGGCTCAGAAGTATTCTAGTTGCTGCCGTCAGGTGGTGCCACGTGTTATTTTCTATCATGAATAGAATGGGAACATAATTAATTACAAAACTCGCCCGCCATATTGGATCTCCTGTTAGAATTTTCAAATTGTGATAAAGGAATCATAATCTCCGACCCCACAAACCCCCAGATCCTAATTTTAAACAGAATTGGATTATAAATTATAATTATAAAACTGGTCCCCCATATATTGGATCCGCCATCTTGAATTTTATATTAACACACACAACAAAAAAAGAATTAGTGATATCACAGCCGTATATCTGTCAAGCCTTTTACAATTCTACAAAAGACATACAGACAAAACATTCATTTATATGTATATAGATTATTGACTTACATTTCAGATTATTAGATACAGGAGGTGCACTTTCTCCATTTGTTGAATGGTTAGTCACCACTTTCTCTTCAATTAAAGCTGCCAAAAGTCTTTGAGTTAAAGGTGTAAAAAAGGTTTCCACCATTCTGAAATCAATATCATCAATCATCAATATCTACTAAGTTATCAGAACTCCAATAGTGGAGAAGGTATTCTATCAATTATGTTGAATACTCACGAATTTTCATTTTCAGACATTTTTTTCCTGAAGTCTGGGTTCATGAGAATTTCTTCTGCAAGTTTTCTTTTGAAGGATTTCTGCAAAAAATAGTGTTTATATTTTATGGCCCATATGACAAGGAGGTAATATTTCTGCACCTTCTCATGGACAGTATGATCAGACCCTTCAATGTTTCTGTCTGCTTCTCCGATTTCTGACAACAAATATCTTATTCTTACAGTACAAGTAGAACAAAGTTTTTCTAAATCGAATTGTAATTGATCCAAATCATCCATACAGACCCTATCATCTCCTGATTTTGATAGAACTAAAACCATAATATTAGTGATGTACTTTGAAGTTGTTTGACTTCAAATTATTTACCTGAAGAGTATTTTGGGAGTATTCTGATATTGTCAATTTGTCTGATTAGTGGTATATCACCCAAGTCTTGCCCTTCATCGTCGTGTGGTGTGATAAACGACGAACAATTAGGTATATTCATTTGATTCATCATGATTTATCTTATGGAATATGAAATAAACAAACATGAAATACGAAATAAACAAAAACAATAAAAATTTAAAAACCTTCTTCTTCTTCTTCTGTTGTGATTCTTGGTTTTCTGACTCCGTAGGGTGCCAATTTCACCAGATCAGGTATGGTTTGTATTTGTGGTATAAGGTAGGGTGAAAAGGTAATGTTAGATCCCGTTAATTAGTAGGGTGGTTTTGTTATTACATTCAAGGGTTTCCCAAAAGACATCACACATCTACAAAAAACAATCAGTATAGATAAGATCAAGCAGATGTTTACATAAAGAACTTTCATACTTCATCAGAATTAGATATTTAATATTTTTAAATGATGATATTGCTTTTTTCAATATAATCACTTAATATTTTGATTTTTTCATGGTTTAGGTCTTTTAATATCATTTGATATGAAATGGGAGGAGATAAGCCAATATTTATCAATTTCACATATAGAGTATTAGAATTTTGTCTATTATTTTGGCAACCAAAAAAGAAGTGGTTTATATCCCCTATTTCCCCGCATTCACATAGATTATTGTCTTTAATTTTAATTCTATAAAGATGTTCTGGAAGACAGCAGTGACCTGTTCTTAGTCTCATTATGGATGTGAATACTTTCCGGTTAAGATATTGACATTTACTGAACCAAGGACTTTCTTGGACCTTAGGTTGTATTTCTCTATATCGTGTACCTCTCTGAATCGAAGATTGGTTCCAATATGTTTGAAATTTATTTTTTATGACTCCTTTAAGGAATGGTGTCAAATCTGAGTTTTGTATTTGGTTAATTTTGGTCGGAATGGTTGCGTTTTTTGCTATATTATCAGCTTTATCATTACCCTCAATGTAACTATGACCAGGGATCCAACATAATTTAATTTTGGAGTTATTTCTCTGCTGTTCAAACCAAATCTCTTTTATTTTCCAATATAAATCATTTGTGTTTACCTTTAATTGGTTATTTTGTAACCCAGAAATAGCGCTTTTAGAGTCTGTAAATATAATATACTTATCAGGATCGTCGTTGATCAACAGAAAAGCATAGTAAATCGCCGTAAGCTCTGCCGTCAGGATAGATGATTTGGGGTGTATTATACCTCCTTTTTCCAATGCTCTATGAGGGATAAATATTCCGAAGGATACTCTATCTACAGATTTGGAACCATCCGTGAAAATACATTTGTAATTTGGCCACTTTTCATTAACGATATCCAGAAATCTTGTGTTATTATTCCTACATGATTTATGAGCTTTCTCTATACCTATACTTTCAATAATTTCAAATTTTTCATAGTGACATTCTACCGGAATTTTGAATAATATGTGTTCAGGTGACGATAATATTTGGTTGAAAGGGGGGGCACGAGATTCTCGAATGGATTTATATATTATCCATTCCTTCATCCTGTTTATATTTGAATTAGTAATTTTTCTTTCAACTTCAAACATTTTTTTAATAATAGGGTTTGATTTAATAGACCGGTGTTTCATTATAAATTTGATTGTAATCATATTTTGTTTAATGTCAATCGGTAGTTGGTTTGCCTCTACTAAAATTGCATTAGTTGGGGTTGAACGCATCATTCCTAGACATATTCTTAGTGATTTGAATTGGGAACTAGATATTTTTTTAATATTACTTTTGCTGGTATTTCCATACATTATCAAACCATATTCGATTCTTGAAGAGATAAGGCCATTATGAATATTTAGCATTATTTTTGGGTCGGCACCCCAGCTGACTTTCGCCAAGTATTTTAGAATATTTAATGTTTGATTGATTTTATTTATGGTGTCATTAACATGTTTTTTCCATGTCATTTTCCTGTCAAATGTTAGCCCGAGTATTTTATGATATTCAACCTGCGCAATTCTTTTGTTGGAAATTTTGATATTTATGTTCTCTTGAAGGTGGCTTTTGGAGAAGACAATGCTTTTTGTTTTTTCTGTAGATATGGAGAGCCCATGTTCTTCTAACCAGTTTTCTAACGAGACCAGAGCTCTTTCAATACGGTGTTTGGCAAGCATAGGGTTTTTGTCACTTCTATATATTGTTATATCATCTGCATATTGTATATACTTACAATGTGGGGAAAGTGCGTCCCACAAGGTTACTGTATAAAGATTAAATAGTATTGGACTGAGAACAGCACCCTGTAACAGTCCTTTGAAGCAAGTTCTAGGTCCCCATATATTACGATTTTTATCCCTAATGAATACCCTTTTTTCCTTGATGAGTTCATAAATAATATTGATTACATTTTTGTTAATACCCAACTCTTTGAGATTTTCAATTAATATTTCTGGAATAACATTATCATACGCTGCTTGAATGTCTAAAAAAATCGCCACAGTTTTCTCTTTTTTCACTTCACTTTTTATGAGATCTATATACATATGGAACAGGGCTTCAGTTGTACCGACTCCCTTTCTAAAGCCAAATTGATTTTCAGGTAATATATTATTGTGTTCTACCCACCATTCCAACCGATGTTTAATAAGATGTTCAAAAGTTTTCTTTAAACATGATGAAAGTGCAATGGGTCTATAGTTTTTGAGGTTATTTGGATCTTTTCCTGGTTTTAGAATAGGAATCAGTACAATTTCATTCCATTCTTCAGGTATATCAGTTTTGTTGAACCAAATATCATTGTAAAAGTTAATTATCCATTTGAATGCTTTTTTTGGCAAAAATTTTATCATTTTATAAGTAATTCCATCTTTTCCCGGAGCAGATTCTTTCAAGTCCTCAATTATGTATTTTGCCTCTCTTTCTGTAAACACATAATTAATATCTTTATTAATTTCAGTTTTTTCAGGCTCAATCGGGGGTCTCTGGATGTCAACTGGACAGAAGATGTCTAACAACGATGCGCACATTGTATTCTTATCTATATTGTTTTGAAAATTGTTTTGTTCATGATTAAATGGCTTAGAAAATTTTTTAACATTTTTCCATACTGACGAAATGTCACTCTCCCTAGACAAAGATTCTGTAAAACTTATGAATGCTTTTTTCTTTTTTCTTTTGAATAATCTCCTATTTCTAGCAATTTTAATTCATAAAAATTATCTGCGTTGGAGTTTTCTTTATAATTCCTGAACATCACTTTCCGTTTTTTGATAGCCTCTAGACACTCTTCGTCCCACCATGGTGGTTTTAGTAAATTGATACGATTGTTTTTACAATTTATAGTAGGGGTACTCTGGGAAATGCCAACCTTCATTGCGTTGATAAGGTCCTCATATACTCTAATATCCATACTATCAACTATTTGTTCATATATTGTCCAGTCCGTTTTTTTATAATTATAAATACAATCATGAGTGTTATTCGTGAAATTATCACCTTGGGGGTTAAAATTTGTGTTATCTACTAATATTTCCGCAAAAATAGGAAAATGATCTGATCCAAAAGTGTCCTCTAGGGTTTCACAATGTACAACACAGTTATAGATGTTCGGAGAAGTGATTATAAGGTCTATTACACTTTTAGATTGTAGGGCAAGTACAGTAGGTTGAAGGTCATTTATAATGATCATATGGCCCTCTTCCACTACTAAATTCAGTTCGCATCCTCCTCTATTATTTATTGAGTTCCTCCAATTTTTGTGGTGGCAATTAAAATCCCCATTTATTATGAATTTGTCATCCCTTGTGAAATTCATCCAGAAGTTTTCTTCTACTGTAACATCCGGAGGGATATACATAGAGTATATTTTCAAGTCCTCAATTTCCACTCCTACTATATTTACTCTGTTAGGAATTCTAAAATTGAAAGACAATATCTTGAAATTAACCCATTAGTGCATAATGTGTCTTATAATGGACGCTCCTTGTCTAATTTTTTGTGACGTCAATCATGCAGGAATTGAATGTTTCATGTGCCAGAACTATAAGTGTAGTTCAACAACAAACAGCTATCGCTTCTATTTCATGAATTTGTATCTCGACAATATTCTGCACGTGATCAAATGGATAACAATTTGTATTGCACCCGACAAGGAGGGTAAGTATTTATTATAACGGAGTATAATGGATTTCAGAATTTCCTATCCCTCAAGATCTCATTATATGCATGTGTTTATGAACCTATAAGGTGATTCGAATAATTATTTTTTTTGTAAGACACTCAGAATATTGCTTTTGTGTTGTGTCCATTATAATGGACTCTATGCATATCGGTCATCAAGATTTTTTGTAGATCATTCTTGCAACACCTCTTAGACATATGGAAAATGGCTCAGATATCGATCAACCAACAGATAATCATATATTATATTGCCTTCAGAAAAGAAGTTGGCAGAAATGCAGTTATTCGAATTTAGAAACTGCGAATCCATAATGAATCATATTTCTAAAGGAATTATCAAACAGCCGTGCGACTTTCGTTATTCTGATCCTGATTTTGATGAAATTGAAAATAATATACATCTTTGCATTATGAAAAGGAATATTATAGCATCAAATGATTGTACGTTATACTGCAGCACGTCAACTATAGACACGACTCCATCCACTCGTTCGACTCCTCTTTTTCTTCAACGGGTTCACATTTCCTTCCACTGGATCGTGTGAGGAGCACCGAAAAAAGGTCTGGAAGTATCATCCCAAATAATTTCTTGATATGATGCATTTCCATATACCCATCAGCTGAATTCCATTCAGTAGAGTATACAAAATTGCAATTTTATATGTAAAATAGGACTGCATCTGAGAGATGCTTCAAAATGTATCAAGTCATCATGATGTATAATTTTCATTATTATTATTATTATTATCATTATTGATAATATTGTGATTGATCTTATTGAGTTTTTCATGTTCTGGATATGTACTTGAATAAAAATGAATACTGAAATTCCCTACTGATCACTTTCATCAATGAACCAATTTGCATAGAGTCCATTAAAATGGACGTAACATATAAAAAAAATCTGTTGTAAAAAAAAATTATTCGTCATGAGTTATCATTCTTTGGGTATATTTGAATGGGTAAACATCTTCAGAATATAGAGATTTGAAAAAAAGTAACTTCATGCACTAATGGGTTAATAGTATCCTTAAGGAGCATCCCTGCCCCCCCTTTACCGTCATCTCTATTATGTACTATAGCTTTGTATCCTTTGGTAGATATACTATGATTTGTTTTTAACCATGTTTCTGTTAGACATACTATGTCTGGTTCCATATTTTCTATTAGACCATGTAAGTGGTAAGTGTGATTTGTTGGCATGAAAGCTTCTCATATTCCAGTTGATAATTTTCAACTGTCCCATGAGCTCACTTCTTAGTTTACTTCTGAAGTGTCAAAAACAAATGAATTAGGTGTTGTAGTGTGATTAGTTGGAATAAATTCCTTAATTAATTCAAGAAATAGTTCAGGGTTATCAAAATATATGCTACTTATGTCATCCCTGACTTTTTGTTTATTATTTATTGACATTGATGACCCTGAGGAAGTACCGACCAGTCGAGACACTAAAGGCGTCTCTCTAATACGGCCCTCTGGATTGAATAAACATTCTTTATGATTGTCTTCTAATCCTCTTTTCCCTTTTCTATTTTCTGTATTATTTTTCTTTGAAGATTGTTGTATATAGTTTGTAAAGGTATTGTTTTTAGTTATCTTATTGTATCCTTGAGGGATATTTATGTTGGGGGTTCTTTCATTTTGAGATTGACTAATGTTTTGACTTGGAATGGGTAATTCGGGGAAACTATTTGTGTTGAAATTGAGTTGACTTCTTTTTTCAGCTATTTTTGGGTTAATTACTTTGGGGATTTGTTTCGAAGCTTCAAAAAATGATATATTTTTTTCTGCAATTAATTCTTTTATCCTCTTTTGTCTGGTGAACTCAGGGCACGTTCTATTTCTGAATGATTTGTCTGCTTCATTTGTTAAATGTTCATCACCACAATATAAGCATGAGAATTGATTTTTTTCACAGCTATCCAAACCATGATTTTCAGCACATTTGGGACATCTCACCCTCCCTCTGCACTGAGCTTTTGTATGTCCGTATCTGAGGCAATTATGACATTGAATAACCGGTGCATAATAATTCAAGGTTTCAAAGGTACATGAATACATGTATACTTTATTTGGAATCGTTTTTCCCCTAAAAGTAACTAGAATAACTGGGATGTCCTTGTATTCTGCAACCGTTCCTACAACTTTTTTTTTCAGCCTTCTAACATGAACTATTTTCCTATTTCCAATTGTTTTCATGTTTTGTGTAATTTCCTCTTCAGATAATGTAATATCAATGTCTTTTATAATGGCTTTCGATGTTATCATATTATTTGGAATGGTAGCTCTAAAATTGTTGGATGAAAGAAAATTGTTATCATTTAGTAAATTATTTGCTTCTTCCATTTTTTTGAATATCATCAATCTGTTTCTTCCCCTTCTTTCAATGGAGCTTGGGTTATACCTAGAGTTTTGATGAAATATTTTCCCTACACCTAGATTCGAAAGATAACCTATATTCTTATCTGTAGATTCTATATAGATATTGTATGGGCCTAAGTCAGTAACTTCATATCTATTTTCAATAACATTCCTATCAGTATTCACATCCATTGTTTCATCTACTTGGGAATTTAAACTATCTATTTTAGCTCCCTTGACTTCAGTATCTTCGTTTTTTGTAGTTTGAACTTGGTTTTTATCAACACTTTTTTGTGACTTGTTTGCTTGCTGAATGACAAGGTCGGATAAGATTTTAACTCTCGCCGGGAGTTTGATTTTTACATCTTCCTCTCCTTTAAAAAAGAACCCATCTTTTATGGTTTCACCAAATTCATTGACAAAATTTTCATTAATGTTAATAAAAGAAATTATATCTTTACATTTTTTCGGATTATATTCATTCTTATTGGCAAATGACAGCAAATTACAAACCGCTTGCTTGGTTGTTGGAGATTTATCTATCAAATCTTTATAAATTGAAATATCATCTAAGTATTTCCCGGTCCCCCCGGGGTCTCCGGGGGAGTTGTCCCCCATTTCAATATGAAGGTAAAACTGCATTTAGCATGCGATGGGTTTTTTTTCGAAAATTTTTTTTGGTACTTACGTATTTTTGTCTGAAAAACACGAATTTGATAATGAAAATGTGAACAAACCATTATTTATCAAGATATTTCACTATAAAGTTTCAAATTCCACCTTCTTTTCCGCCTGTCTTCTGGATTGAATTTTAAACAATTCACCCTTCTTTTTTCATCATTGGACAATTTATATATATCACAATGTAAGACACATTTTCTCTATTATTGAGTCAACTAGAAATATGATTTTCTTGTGATTTATCCATATTTATTGAAAAGAAGGAAGAATATCATTTGAAATAATGGCGTGTGTAATGTCATTCCAAAGCAATCTATTGACATTTGACATCTCGTATTTGGATTGCCTATGGATAAAATGGCCGTCATCTGGTATGCTTGCTCACTAAATAGGAAAAACTCACCATAAAAATCATATTTCCTGTTGAATTTTCTGTATGAAAATGTGTCATTGAAGTACATCATGAGTATATAAAGCGAATATTAAGTGTCCAATGACAAAATAAGAAGAGCAAGTACCTGAAAATGCATCCAACGCAAGGGGAAAAAGGAGTCGAAATTTCGAACTTTTTTTTGAAATATCTCGATAAATAGTGGTTTGTTCACATTTTCATTATCAAATTCGTGTTTTTCAGACAAAAATACGTAAGTACCAAAAAAAATTTTCGAAAAAAACCCATCGCATGCTAAATGCAGTTTTACCGTAATTTCTTTATAGAAACACCCAGAAAAAGACAATACGAACACTTACTTGTTTTATACTATTAGGATTAGTAATCAGGTTAGGTTCAGGTTCTTTTGGAAATACGCTCTTGGCTTCTCGATGTGCACCCTGTCACGTTGTTCACCGCAAGAAAATCCTTTAAAAACCTGACACTGACAGTATCAGCAAAGAGGAGAGGGAACCTGTCAGGGTTGCCAATTGAAAAATCATGTTTTACCCACCTTGATTACTGAAAATACCCGATTTTACCCGATTGCCGTTTTGAATCGCGGCAAATTTGAAAGAGGTAATCGTCATTTCGAAAATGAAAATAAGTATATAAACAGTATATATATATATAATTTATTACAAAAAAAAAACAAATCATAAAATAATTCTCAACAAACAAAAACAAAACATCATATTCACGTACATATGAAAGCTAATGTCAAATTATAATTATAAAAATAGAGATCTAATCTGATCTCCAAATGTTCGTCCTTAACATTTTATCATTTGGATTAAATTAAAGGAGTCCTCCTTTTTCTCGAATGCCCTGTTTGGTCATAATTATGGAACAAATAGTGTCAGTTCCAAGCTTGTTTCACATGGAAGGTAGAGGGTAGAGTATCTCTTTATAATCCCTGACCCTGACTCTCTGAATTCTGAAATTCTGACTTTGAGTACTTTGACTGACAGTGACAGACGACATCTGGAAATCATAGAACATAAAATACATAACCACAGACATAAAACTTTAAGAAAATTAAGTTTCGTGATAGAGTTCGAGTTCGCACAGAAATAAAACACAGTTCTCGACCACAGATTAACGAAGGTTCGAATCATTCGAATGTTTCGATTTGAACATCACAGATTATTATTCGAATCAAAATACCCGATTTTTACCCGACATTTGATTTTACCCGAAAAATACCCACCAGAGTAGAAAATACCCGCTTTTCGGGTAAAATACCCGCATGTTGGCAACCCTGGCAACCTGTACTTCTTATTTTTTTATTAATCGGCTTCTTGGGTTTTTCTGATTCATTGCGAGATCCTGTCTTATGGTCAAAAGTCCATATCAAGATAAGTCTATTGTCTACATAAGCACTAACCAAAAAACCGATTTTGTTTAGGGCACATTAGAGAGATGAACCAAAAAAGGAAGAGCCGTCAACAAGTGTCACTGTCACTTCTTTCTCAGTCTCAGTATTATTTTTGGTTAAGGTTTTTATTTTGAAAAGTATAAATACAAAAATAGTTTCGATCATCTTTTGGTGCTTTGGTCTACACTTTAGAATGTCGGACGGTGCCAGTAAGGATACGAGTATGCAGAAAACACCAATGATTTATATCTGTGGAGGTAACAAATTCATCAGGAAATTATCAACCTGGATAAAATCATCAACTAAACATTTTTTCAGAATGCCACAGTGAGAACGAAATACGTCCAAGAGATCCCATTCGTTGTCGAGAATGTGGATATAGGATTATGTACAAAAAGCGAACAAAAAGATGTATCCTTTCAACAACTTATAGTCAGTCACTTCAGTCACTTGTTCATATACCTACAATGACCTAACTACTAAAGTAATTGAATGGAGTAGAACAAGAGGAAAGCAATACAAAATCACGAGACACAATGGTTCATTTGCTTTCCAGTAGCTAGTTCTCATATGAAATTAAATAAACTTGATTGGAATTCTGTGAAAGGAATACTTGAATGTTTATATTTTTCCAGAGGGATGTTATTGCTGAGATGTGTTTATAATTCCTTTGCTGAATAATATGTGATTTTGCATTGGTTTCTAAATCCGGCCACAGGAAAAGTGGAGCTACCAAGTTTGATTAAGAATATTTCCTTAACAGTATCTAATAGTAATTGTTTTTGATGCTCGATAAAATGGTTATTTTCAATGGATTCCATCAGTACCTACTTAGTGTCTAAGTTGAGATAACATCTCCTTTTTGTATAGGAATTTTTACTGTTCATTTTGAATAATTTATTACTTCATTATGGTGACGAATTCTAAAAGAATCATTATTTGATAGGTAGGTAGTTATAATCATGTACCAGTACCTTAAGTATATAAAATTTTCAAGAGCCACAGCTTTGTAAGCATCAAGACATCATTTTCTGAGAAGGTAACCTGAGGCCTCCAGAAAATTTATTATTGTTAATATATCGCTTTTATTCCAAATTGTTTCAAAATTATGATGGTAGATTACAATATACACTTCACCTTACCTACGTTTATTTTTGATGTGATCGGAATCCATCAGGGTCCAGGGACCTCAAACTTTCAAGGTCGATGCGCAAGGGCACCAGACATCACGGAGACCTCGTTTTCCTACAGATTTTCAAGGTCACATGTGTGCAGATCAATAATCAGATACCTAAATGCTTGTAATTTGCGTGTTGAATAGGTACACAGTGTACGCGCATAATGGGAATGTCCCTCAAATATGTACTTATTCCTGTTCACTAAGAAAAAACATTCTAGGTTTCAAGTGTAAAGAAGTTAGTATGTACTGTCACATGCTGAAAAATCTTATCAGAATGTGACTCTACAATTTGCATAAGGACAATGAAATATTCGCTATAAAATAAGTAGCTATATACACCTTGAAACAAGGATAGTTTTGGGACGAAAAATGTTATCTTGTTCACTGAAAAACCACTCAGCCCAAATGATTCGTTTTTTTAGCCACCTATCCAAAGTGAAACAAAATGCTTTCGATTTCATCTCAACACAAGTCGTGTTTATCGTTTGTGGTGTGTTCGTGTGTGTTTCAATCCTTTCCAGTCGATTTTGAAATCATCATATTATCATCAATTTAACAAATTCATGCGGTGGTGGATCAAATAAATTCATCGAAATTCAAAACAATCCGTGTCGAAGTACTACGACGCGGCCGCAGCTTTCACCTCTACGCATGCGCACATACGACCCATTGCATATCCATTGCAAATATTTAGACAAACGAAGGATGTTTCCAAAACAAGTAGTGCAAGTGCATAAAGGATAATTTCGCGAATTAATAGCGTGATCGTGGAATGTGCGATTCAGATGGCATTTAATGAACTATGTTTTCACGAGTGTCAGCATAGGGTATCTACTATAAAAGGTATGTTCATTATGTGTAAAAAATATACTTTTTGTCACATTTTGTGCATGATTCTCCCGGCTTTAGCCTTGACTTGTTGTTAGTTAATTAGGAGGTTTCTCTTCATATGATCGGAGAGAAATGTCATTCTCATTTTTTACCCACCTATCCCTTGTTTCATTTTTATTTTCCAATTATAAAATAAAAACATTCCAGACCACCGGTGTGAAGTAAAAAGGGCAGCCAAATCGAGAGCCAAATTCACTCCAGTCTAGAGAGTAGGTGGTTACAAATTTAGACCAATCAAAAAAGTTGCGCTCGCGTAGTGAGCATCAGAAACTGTTTTCGTACATATTTTTGCCAAAAATACAATGGTATGTAAATATATAAAACAACGTACCGAACTATGAGCCAGAGGTCCCGGGTGCAAATCCTTTTCCAGAAAGGTTTTCTTCTTTGTTTTTTCGAAGTGATTAACTGGAAAAAATACTGTGGAGCCATGAACTGCATTTCAACGATGTTTTTTTTTTATTGTACGTGGGCGAAGTGCTCGTTTCGAAATTTCTGTAGACTTGCTAACAAATTTGAATTGACCGCCATATGTATTTTAATTAATGACGCCTACTCCCTAGACGCGAGTGCCAAATTCCCGAAGATTGCCGAAATCCGAATCGCTGAACGTCGAACGATCAGTGGCGTCGAAAAGAACGGCAGGGAGGGAATCTAGCCGGACTATTTCGCAACCCCGCAGTTCCGCATGCGCGTTGTCGTATCGTCTGTCAATAGGTCAAAATGTCCCTATATTATTTGTAGTTAGACCACGTGATGACATTTCCATTTTTTATTACTGTCAAACTTTCCCTATATAGGCTATATTCCGAATTCAACTGGTCAGTACTGTCAGCAGATCCACTGACTCTGCTGAAAATATGTGTTCCGAAATATAAAATCAAAAATACAGTGCTTTAATTCGGAACACGTTTTCATGGTTTTCATCAGTAGTCAGCAGCAGTTGATCAGCTGGTGGAATTTTTCAGTATGTAGTATCTCGTTTATCTGAACTAGATTATTTTTCCTCCTGCTTGACATACATTTTGGAAATATAATATTTAAAATGAAAGGACAATCGGTTCTTGTAGCCTTCATAGTTTCTTCGAATGTTGATGATGACGATTCAAGCTCGAGTGATGAAGAATTCTTGGACATTCATGTAATATGACATCAATGGCTGTATTCCGAATTCAACTGACAGTACTGAATCTGCTGATTTTCCATTCCGAAATCAAAAAATTCACTGGAAGTGACAGATGCTTGTCAGCAGACATACTATTCATTCCAAATATTTCGACTCAACATTCTGCTGAAATTGCTGAGTATCAAAAGGTAGAGTCCCTGTATATAACTAAGGTATATACAGGGACTCTATCAAAAGGTAGTGTGGCTTCAGTGAACTGTCATATTTTAGAGGAGGAAGGAATGTAACATTCATTTCCGTTATTAATGAAATGATTCTCAATATCAGAAAATACCTGGAGTATGAAGTAGTAGAGCAGGTAAGGAAAGGAGCAGCATTGGCTAAATAAACCAAATAAACCTGGAATGTCTCCTAAAATTCATCATTATTAAGGCATATTGTATCTCAATCTCAATCTGGTGCATCATGAGAAATTTATGGCAACAAAATGTCCAAGTATTCTTCATCACTCGAGCTTGAATCGCCATCGTCAACAATCGTAGAAACTATAGAGGATACAAGAATCGATTTCTCTTCCATGTTAATTATTAAATTCCCAAAATTTATAACAAGTAGGAGGCTAAACATCTAGTTCAGATAAACGAGAAACTACTACTGATGGAAACCATGAAAACGTGTCCCGAATTACAGTAGTGAATTTTTGATTTTATATTTCGGAACACAGATTTTCAGCAGAGTCAGTGGATCAACTTACAGTACTGACCAGTTGAATTCGGAATATAGCCAATGACGATGAATTCAGGAAACATTTCAGGTTTTTTAGATATTTATTTACCCAATGCTGCTTCTTCTGTCGTCACCTCCCTTCTACTTCATACTCTATATAGTCTCTCAGCGTTTATTATTTCGATAACGGGTATTTTATGATATCGAAAATAATATAATTAATAATTAACGGAAATAAATGTTACATTCCTTCCCCCTCTAAAATAATGACAGTTTACTGATGCCACACCACCTTTTGATACTCAGCAATTTCAGCAGAATGTTGAGTCGAAATATTTGGAATGAATAGTATATCTGCTCACAAGCATCTGTCACATTCAGTGATTTTTTTGATTTCGGAATGAAAAATCAGTAGATTCAGTACTGTCAGCTGAATTCGGAATATAGCCATTATTTGTAGGTAGACCACGTGATGACAATTCCGAAAATGATACCAACTTTCGACTATTATGGCTATCTTGGATCACCTATTTTTAAGGTATTGATAATTCTAGAACACGTGATTTTGACATGGTTTCTTGAGGGGCACACAAACTATCTGTTAGAGGTTACCTTTGACTCAGTTTAAGGAATAAACTGTGCCTTTGATGAGCATAGCCCTGGCCATCCCTGCCACATCTACCACATCTAATATAATAACAGTTTCACCAAACACAATTATGGAATTCTTTCTAGTTCCAACTCGGATTCCAAGGAAAACGATCCCACTTATTCTGGTTTTATATGACATATCTTGACAAAATACAATGTTTGCCCCTCAGCAACCTGTCAAATGACGTAATTCTGGAATGATTTATTAATGGTATCATAATGTGTTGATATCATTTCCGGAAAAAGTGGAAGTTGGATATTATATTATGTCAAAGAAATGCCGTCTCGCGAGTATATATTTGGTATTTCAAATTTCAGAAAAGGAGCTAGAGAAATAACGAAAAAAAGGGGGGTATCACACGGTAATACCTATACTCTATGTATTACACATAATTTTTCAGCAAATTCATTATCTCGGTTGAGGTTGTGCTTTTATATACATTACAGAATTTATCTACACATTCGTATCCTTCATTGATAAGAAAATATCAATCCAATAATAGGTATAACCCTTCCTAATTGTTTTTATCGTTTAGTAGTTATATTTATGTGATATCTAGTACTACTTATAGGTGAGTACTGAGTAGGTTTACATACATTCAGACTTGCATTGTTCTAAATTGTTGTAAAATTGTTCTATCCATCAGTCGGTTGCCCCCTTACGAGCAACCCTCAGAAGTCTTCGAGAATCTATGCAAGCAAGAATTGACAGGGGCCTTACCTTTTAACGTGTGATTCCAAACACTCTCTTGGGCCATCAGAAAAATGTCTGCAGTCGCTGGGAATTGAACCCACGACCGGCAAGCGAATACGGATTAGAATACTGACACTCTGTCCGCGTCCGCACGGCTACCTGGCCTCAAAGTACTGCTTAATGTATACAGGGTGTTGTAAAATTCAATCGACAACTTTTCACAGGTGATATAGTTCTCGTGATTTGATGAATAATTAGATAGGATAATATGAGTGGTTAATCTGAGAGATACTAGAAAATGGCTGAATTTTTCTCGGTCGCTGATTTTCTCTTCAAAATCTTTTTCTTTGAACGATGACGGTAACCTCGATCATTCCATTCAGTGACTCGTCAATATAGGTTGGTTTACCTCCTTCTATTATATTTTTTACGCCATTGATGGAATTTTGATCATTTAATTTTTTTTAACTCTGATCAATTTTGTAGGAAAAACGCATAACATTTAACTGAGGTAGAATGATCAGTTTTAGAGATATACAAGGTGTTTTATTAATGTCGAAATAAAAAAGTTCTCATATACACATTTGAGGAAACGATTGATTTCCTGTATCTCGGGTTTTGAAAGTTGAAAAAAAACATTTTTTTAATTTCTGGAAAATGCCTGAACCGATAGTGATAACACAATTCACAATGTCTGTTGAAATCTCGATGAGGTATTTTGTGGAACTATTACAGTTGAGGAGTATTACCAGGGGCGTGCCCACGGGGCACGTCCAATCGTTTTTTGCACAAAAAATAGCATGCCTTGTTTTTTAAACATTTGGTCTTGTCTTATCAATGATAGATTGATAATATCATATATGATATCAGAAAATGCCTGATATTAAAATAATTGACGTTTAGAATAATGTACAAATTTCACCAGCTGATCCACTGCTGCTGATTACTGATGTAAACTATGAAAACGTGTTCCGAATTACAGCATTGTATTTTTGATTGTATATTCCGGAACATAGATTTTCAGCAGAGTCAGTGGATTTACTGACAGTACTGACGAGTTGAATTCAAAATATAGCCTGAATATACCGACAGTCCGAAATAACGGAACGATTTTAATATCAGTAAACTAGGGTCCCTTGATGCAAACTGACGTATTTGTCATCTAACAGGGTACGAACAGATCATAGCACCTTTCTTTTAATCCTCTAGTGATTTTGGTTTCGTATATTGGCGTCCCTGACATGACATTGCTGTCACGTCACATTCATAGGCGTTAAAAGAGATTAAAATTATAGAATTATAATTTCATACTTTATCTTAATACGACATTATTAAATTCTGTTTGGAAGGATGGTTTAATGCGTGCTGCGTTAGGCTGTATCAACCATTTCCGTCAATGCAAATGAACTTAGAACATGGAAAGTGAAGTGACCGAATGGGGAAAATTGGTAAATACATGAGCAAAATATTCGAGGTAAAACTGATTCGAAATCACATATCATACTTTTTCATTGTGCCTATATATAATTATTCACTCCACAAGTTTTTTAATGCATTATTAGTAGAAACAGTTTTGATTTAAATGGAGGATTAAAAGAAGAGGCATATGCCGTACCATTTCAAAAGTTATACCTACATTCATGAAATATTAAGTGTGAAAAACTGCAAAAATGATTACCAACATGAATATATACAAAACACATGAGATATGAGCACATTAGTTTGAATACCTACATAAAATTTTTCACCATTTCTCAACCATGAGGCTTAGCCTGAAATCAAAATTAATTTATTGATAGGTAATGCCTAAGAACAGTCCCGTTTGGTAAAACGTATTAAACTTTCAAAAAAATTTTCCACTGCCTAATTAAGATTATGCTGGAGTTGAAAAATCAAAACCTCGAAAATTATCATCATCATTTGGATATAATATGTAGAGTTGAATGAGAAATTACATGTGGAAATTACGTATGATACGCCAATGTCCTCAATATAACCTAAAAACAACAAATGTCAGAAATCTAGTGTTTATCCCCAGAAATGAATAAAGATGGAACTATACAGGGTGTTTCAAAATTCAGTATCAAGATTTTAGGGGCGTATTTTTCAGGTCAAAATAAGACGTTTTTGTCCATAAACATGTGTCCGCAAACGCTTCGTTACCGATCTACAGAGCGTTAAAGTTTCAAGATTTTTTTATTTTTTTCTTCATAGCTCTTTCAATCTTTGAGATATTAAGATCAAATTTGGAATGTATGTTTCGTTCTAGGGCTTACATCATCCAGCATGCCGAGTGATTGTGAGAATCTACAGGGAGATATTTTTTTCAGGGGTCAAGACCTTTTTTACCCCATAAACTTTTTTGTGGTGCTCCGCTGGTGAATTCTGAGATACAAAATGAATTTTTTGTTTTGTTTATAATTTTTTTTGTCTCTTGTAATTTTCACGCATCTGCGATCGTTATCGAGAAAAAAGTAAAATCAATTTTTGTGATTCGCTACATTTAATTAAAATTCTCAACGGAACAATGAAAAAGCGAATTAGTGGGCTTTGACTGCTATTTTTATTTTGACGTTTAGGTTTGTTTTGAAGCATTTGACATTATTTGAAAGTTGGTGGATGTCTCATCGTGTATTTGTTTAACTTTAACGCTCTGTAGATCGGTAACGAAGCGTTTGCGGACACATGTTTATGGACAAAAACGTCTTATTTTGACCTGAAAAATACGCCCCTAAAATCTTGATACTGAATTTTGAAACACCCTGTATAACTGTTTCACAAACACTTTAGAGTGAGGGGAGACGAGGATCAGTCCGTACCCTGTTAAGATGACAAATACGTCAATGTATATCAAGGGACCCTAGGATATACTATACCGTGATTGACATTTCGTGTGATGATAAATACGAATATTAATATTCGGAATACCCCTCATGATTGTGATACAAATTAAAGTGTTCTTCTTATTCATTTGAAGTTGCGTAAACGATATGTCAGCCGAGACGGAGTTGACGATGCAGACGGGGATTTCTCCTGTTCTCTTGCCGGACCTGACAACGCTCAGCCTCATCGGACACAGATCTCAAGCGACTCATCTCGCCGCTCATCCCCCTCATCAAAATATGCAGACCAATCCGAATGGTGAGTAATTCATAATTCTAAATATTTTTGTCTCATGAACTCACCTGTCGCTCTCTTCATAAACCCGCCTATGCTATGATGAATCCAAATTGAATTTTGATTCCGGAGGTCGTCCTCTTCTGTTTTCTTCTTCTTTTCACATGGAACAGAAGGAGATGGAGTCAATCCACAGTGTCGCTTCCGACTTGGACGTTCGTGTTTCGGAGTCTCCTCGGCGACGAGATGACGTCACGTTTGCAAATGGCCGACGCTTTTATAACTAGATAGACAATTTTCTATTAAAGTACTAAAGTAGTGGTGTTGTGTGTGCTTGTGTGATTTATTTATTAATAATTATTAAATATGTATCCCGCAGGAGGCCGTAAGTGAATACTAAAAGTTTACGTTATTATTTAAAACTATTATTAAAAGGCAGCACTTGAAATTACATTTTCTAACGAGGTGTACTCTGATTAGATTCTTTGTTTTGAGGTTTTCTATTGAGTTTTTCTTGGATTTCACACATACATTTTCATGGTTTGGTATCAGCAGTTTGAAATTCATCGTTATTTTGAACGAGATTGTTCCGTATCAATGAAATGTTGAAGTTTACTATTATCTACTGAATTGTTAGAACTAATATGGGTAGATCTTTAATAGAATAGAACCGTAAATAAGGTCAATGAATGTTTGGAAATATCACGGTACAACCTATATTACCTATTCGGGTTTATAAATATTGGAAGTTGGTACCTATGTATTTCCCTGGGAATTTCCATTAGCATATTTGCACTTAATGAAATAATATGCAATATTTATTATAATCAAGCACTGTTTATTTGTAGAATCAAATGCACATTTTTTGATCATTGCATTGTTAACCAACATTGGTTCCGCCTTTCATATTAATCATAATCTCATAATCTTCTAGTCATTAAATGAAAACAGGTACATTTCTTGGAACAAGTGAACATACATTCCATTTGAGTCAACAGCTCATGACTTCATGAATAGCCAATACCTTTGAAATTAATTTCCAGCTTATTTATTGAATGTAGAGTAAAACCAGTTTTACCTGAAAATCCTTGTTCTCATTAATGAATTTTTAGTGATCTTTCTTTATGGGTTGGTGATTAGAAATTCCTAGTTTAATCCTGTAGGGATGCTTTCTTGCTATCATCATCATCATTAAAATGTTGTTATTAGGTAAAGTTGCCAAAAGAAATTCGGCAGCCAGTTCAATGACCTTTATAACTGGGATCCAGACTAGACTTATTGATTTGGTCGGCAAGTTTTCCGCATTTTACCTACCTTCATTATCATAACCTCACAAATTGCAGTTACATAGGTACTTATAATATTTGAGCATATAAAAAACAGGAACAAATACCTAGTAAAAATGACCAACAAAAATACAAAAGAAATAAAAAAAAATTGAACATATTAGGGTAAAACTGCATTTAGCATGCGATGGGTTTTTTCGAAATTTTTTTTTTGGTACTTACGTATTTTGGTCTGGAAAACACGAATTTGATAATGATAATGTGAACAAACCACTATTTATCGAGATATTTCAGAAAAAAGTTCGAAATTTCGACTCCTTTTTCCCCTTGTGTTGGATGCATTTACAGGTACTTGCTCTTCTTATTTTGTCATTGGACACTTTATATACCCATGATGTACTTCAATGACACATTTTCATACAGAAAATTCAACAGGAAATATGATTTTTATGGCGAGTTTTTCATATTTAGTGAACAAGCATACCAGATGACGGCCATTTAATTAATAGTCAATCCAAATACGAGATATCGAATATCAACAGAGTGCTTTTGAATGACATTACACACGCCATTATTTTAAATGATATTCTTCCTTCTTTTCACAAAATATGGATAAATCCCAAGAAAATCATATTTCTGGTTGACTCAATAATAGAAGAAAAATGTGTCTTACATTGTGATATACAGGGTGTCCCTAGACCAGTGGGACAGTTAAATATCTTCTGAACCAATAGGAATTTTCAAAATCTTATAATTCCACATCATATCGCATTATGAGTGCTAACTTCAGGAATGACTATATTTTATACGAGGGGCACAAGAAAGGCTCACAGAATCGAACATCAATTTTTTCAAATGGAACACCCTGTATTTCATTGCATTTTCATATTCTCCTTGAAGAGCTGAATTCAACGACCTAGCACACTTGGGGTCAAGCGGGAATGATTTCCGAGATATAGGGTGTGGAAAATCGAGACTTTTCATTTTTGGGAATTTTTTGTGTCAAAACTATTCATTATTGGTCAAAACGGCTTATGTCCAATTGTCATTATTTCAAATAATAAATAGGGCACCAACTTACTGGTTCGAAATAATTTCTCTATGTACCGCAAATGCATGATAATGGTTTGTATTTTTTTACGCGTCCAACGGAAAACATTCGAGAAGTCAAATTGTTGCAAAATCAATAGGGATTTCAAAAACGCACCATATCTTTTTAGAAAAATCTCCAGTATACGCCACTGGTAGAAATATTAAAAGAGACCTGCAGAACATCTCTTTCCAAAGACTCGTTCATCCAACGAACAGCGAGGCTCTGAAACACATTGCCAAAAGAGGTGTTTCCCGAGGCATATTACCTCCAGAAATTTAAGAACACCAATTCCTGCCTTATTTCGCTTGGTTCTCACGATGTTCTCTAAACATTACAGGATATCCGAGAAGATATCTTTTTTTGTGGGAACTAGAACATACAAAAAATCCAAGCTGTGGGAACCCGTGGCGATGGATGAATGGCACCGAAGTTTGGTGTAGCTAACAAGTTCAACTTTAGCTCCTAGGAAGTAAAGTTCTAGTTTAGCTCCTAGGAACTATATATGTTGCCTAGCAACATAAAATATGTTGCCTAGCAACATACCTGTTTTTGTGTCAGTAATAGAAATGTCAATTCAAGAGCTAATTTTGGCATTAAAATGGACGACTTTTGTGTCGGTTGCAGAAAAAAGTATCTAGAGCTAGAGTATTTAAAGTATTCAAAGGGTAATTAAGATAATGTAAATGTACTGAGGAGAATAAAACATTTATAACCATATATTTTAAAGAGTTATTTGCCCCTCGATACACCCTGTAGGTAAGTCACGCTTAATTTTCCCCAGCGGGTGCATCTGCGACCACCCTGGGCACGACCAGCACGACGGTCGCTCTGCCCGGCGCCGCCGCAACAACCGCCGCCGGTCCCGTGGCCGCCGTCTCGCCCCCCGCGGAGCCCCCCGTCTTCCAATGCCCGCGCAGGCCGAACCTGGGCCGGGAAGGCCGACCCATCGGTCTCAAGGCCAACCACTTCCAGATCACCATGCCCAGAGGGTTCGTCCACCACTATGACGTCAACATACAGCCCGACAAGTGCCCCAGAAAGGTGAGACACCCTGTATTTAAAAATAAAACGCTACAATTCACAAACAACAAGGAACGCAAAAATGACACTCGCATCTGTAAGTACTTATCGGCACACGAGTCTTTCGTCAAAATTAGGAAATTCAAGATGGCGGACCCAATATGGCGGACCCAATATGGCGGACAAGTTTTGTAATTATGGTCCGATTCTATTCAATTGTTATCTGGGTGTTTTCGGGATCGGAGATTATGATTGTTTTGTCAAAATTCGGAAAGGACGGGGGCGGGATTTGGAAATTCAAGAGGGTGGAACCAGTATACTGGACGAGTTTTGTAATTAAATTAATTATGATTCCTTCGCCAAAATTCGGGAATCCAAGATGGTAGATCCAATATTGCGGACGAGTTTTGTAATTTTGTTCCGATTCTGTTCAAATATTTCATCTGGGGTTTTAGGAGTCGGATATCATGATTCATTCTTCAAAATTAGGAAATTCAAGTGAACAAAAAAGAAGTTGAAATAACACGAACAAAAACAACGAGGAACGCAAAATTTGCACTCGAATCTGTATGTGCTTCCGTGCACACGCACAGTGTCTTGTCAGTTTCAAATGAATCATTTTCATCTCCCTCTCGCCCCAATGATGTCACAAACCGTAAATCATAGAAATCATAGAAAAAAAAATCAACATCGACTAGTGCCCCAGAAAGGTGAGGCATCTGCAAGGCCTAATTAACTCTATAAGGTTGTCTCAATCATATGGGTTGCGTGCAAGAACTGTCAGATGACCGACCCTGGTGGTGAAACATTGAAATACATGCTCACTTTTCCTATTTGTTCACAAATGATTGAACTGGTTTTTCACAATTATTTTTGAATACGAATCGTGTTTTTCGGCTATTCATTAATTCGCGCATGCCATCACATTGTGATGTTGTACAATGCACAAAAAATGCAGCGAGAGACGAAGAAATCCGGTTGGTACATTATGATTCAAAAGTAAGTACCTACTATAGTCACTCACATATACTTTTCATTTTGAAATTTCGTAATTTCTTTGATTTCTCATCGGAATGCCTTCTGCAATAGGAGCTAATACAAATACTCGTGAAATTTCTAACAAATGCAAGAAGATTGGATTCACGCAATCAAACGGGAGGACTGGTTTGACATGCTGACGAAATATGATCGTGTGTGTTGTAGACATTTTCAATATATTAACATTATAAGCTTCTATTGCAGAAATGGCAGGAGGAATTTCAACGAGAAATAACAAAATTTCATAATGAAAACTATGTGTGATTACTATTTACCTGAAAAATCATATTCCTTCATCTCACGCTGCATTTTTTGTGTATTGTACAACAGCACAATGAGAAGGCATGCTTGAAATTAATGAATAGCGCACAAGACACGACTCGTATGCCAAAATTTTGTGAAAAACTATTTCAATCCTTCGATTCCTCTGTAAACAAATGAAAAAAAGTGAGGTTGTGTTCCAATGTTGTACATGAAAGTGAGGTTGTGTTTCAATATTTTTCCTCCAGGGTGGGCCATCGATATATTTCTGGTTATGTCCGATTCTCAGTGCTTGTCAGAGTGTCCGTACTCTCGAAATACACAAAAAACCTCGATGCAAAAGTGTCAAGGACATTGAGGAACTCTGAATTTTCCTAGGTAAACAGAGAGATCATCGAGACGATGGTGAAAGCCTACGGGAAAATATTCGGCAGCCTAAAACCAGTCTTCGACGGCAGAAACAACCTCTACACCAGAGACCCGCTGCCCATCGGCAACGCCAGAGAAGAGCTGGAAGTCACCCTGCCCGGCGAAGGCAAAGACAGACTGTTCCGCGTCACCATCAAATGGGTAGCCCAGGTGAGTGTGCTGCGTCGTGCCTAACATTGCATAACTCGTACAGGGTGATTCGCCATAAATGTCCCCCCCTCTAGCTCACTTATTTATCAACCAATTTGAAAATTTGAAAAATCATCCAAAATGATTTTTCAGAAATTTTTTCCCGTTGCATCAGAAAATACAGGGTGCTCGGAACAAACGATCTATAGGGTACTATTTGATTTTTTCAAATGGAACATCCTATATTTTTCATTGTATTCTTAGATTCTTCCTAAAGAGCTGATTTCATCAATGCATCGCACTTGGGTCTAGCGAAAATGATTACAGAGATATAAGGTGTTCAAAATCGAGATTTTTCAACTTTAGGATTTTTCTGTGACGAAACTATTCATTATCGGCCAGAACGGCTTTCATGTCCCGATATTAACTTCCGATTTACTATCTACTGACATTTAATAATTGGAACAGATACAAGGTGATCAGAATTCTGAATCTTGAAACACACTGTATATGTTCCAATTAAATGTCAGTAGATAGTAAATCAAAAGTTGAGAAAGGGACTTCGGAGCCGTTTTGACCAATAATGAATAGTTTCGACACAAAAAAATACTAAAGTTGAAAAATCTCGATTTTGAACACCCTATATTTCTGTAATCATTCACGCTAGACCCCAAGTGTGATGTATTGATGAAATCAGCTCTCCAGGGAGAATCTAAAAATACAATAAAATACAGGGTGTTCCATTTGAAAAAATCAAGTAGTACTCTGAATATCGTTTGTTCCGAGTACCCTGTATTTTCTGATGCAATGGGAAAAAAATTTCTAAAAAATCATTCTGGATGATTTTTCAACTTTTTAAATCGGTTGAAGAATAAGTGACCTAGAGGGGGGGGACATTTATGGTGAATCACCCTGTACATCACGTTGTACCCAATAAAAAATCTGAATTATCCAAAGATGAACATAGCAGCACCGCAAAGTTTTGTAGCAGACGAGCAATATTCGTACAACACATGAGAGTTGATTCATTAATGCAAATACATACATCTATAGAAATTCCGATTTATGAGATATACAGGGTGTCAACCACAGATTCTAGGAACAAAAATAGTGAAAACAGCTTATATAAACATGCACCCCTCGGCAGTTATAGTCATCTGAAAGATGGCCCGATATTTCCGAAACCCTCTGTGATGAGATGACGAAATTTTGTATGTGTATATTACTTTCATGCCCGATTTGAAAAATGTTGATAATTTTCCAAAATTTTGATGGGCGTGGGAAACAGGCTAAGGGCATTTCTTCCCCCAACCTTTTTCTATGCAATTTTCGGCAGTTTTACTAGGAAATATAAAAATATCATTAATTCCACGGAAAAGTGACACTTGTTTATTTTCTATATCACCATTTTCGATTTAAATCGATTTTAAAAGTCTGTTAAGTAATAAAAATAGTACTTTTTATTAATAGGGTACCTAATATGATATTTTTCAATTTATTTACGTCAAAATGGTATTTTCATATTTCCTGGTCAAACTGCCGCAAAATGCATAGAAAAAAAAGTTGGGGGAAGAAATGTCCCTAGCCTCACCTATTTCCCACAGCCCTGATCAACATTTCGGAAAATTCTTAACATTTCCGAATCGGCCATGAAAACTAATATACATGCACTTCGTTTTATCTCATCACAGAGGTCTTCGGAAATATTTACAAAATACCATCATCTCGGGCCCTCTTTTAGATGGCTTTAACTCCCCAAGGGGGCATTTCTGGGCTAATTTTTTATTATTTCCGTTTCCAGAATCTGCGTTAGAAATTAATCTATGTAATTTTGGGACACCCTGTATAATGTTCTATGAACAATATCTATCAGTTATCTGGCAATGCTTCCGCAGAGTTATCCCCACCATTCGCGATTTCATTCATCTGAGGCATTTGGCGAGAGTGCATACTTTGGATCCTGTGGGCATATTGAAATGTGGCACAACGAAATGTGGGTACAACCCTTGATTATTCACACTAACAAGATGAACCAGGAACCACCCTTATGAGAGCAATGAAGTCAGAAATTCCATTCATTAGGTAGGGGTATACCGGGTGGCTACGGAAGTATTGCCTACGGAATATCTCAGTTATTGTATGAAGTAGGTTTGTGAAATTTGCAGCGTCAATATAATGACATAAGAGCTAGAATTTGAGTACATTGACATGTCGAAGTTAACTTCCGGCCTGACCGGAAGTAACATCAACTTTCTTATTTTAAATGGAAACCCTATTTTTTTTCTTTTCGCTTTATTCAGCATTCAATTCCCTTTCTAATGACATATCACAAGTTGGTATCCAGCCAGAAACTAGATCAGAAAAAAATTATTAATGAAATTCACCGAGTAGGCCGTGGAAGCAAAATAAAAGCAAAAAATTGAAAAGTTGGCTATGGAAACCATACGTCACTTGATAACAGTTGCTACTACTGTGATATTTTATTTTCATTCGTCGGCGTTATAAAAAGCCGCCAAAAAAATATTGGAAAAATTGGGGAAAAAACAATACTCTGTAGGTCCATAATTTAAATAGGAACATACAACTTTTTCTTGCCTGTACTATTCAGCATAACCATTCCTTTCTAATGATATAATAGAAAGTCATTTTTTGGCTTTCATTTTGCTTCCACGGCCTACTCGGTGAATTTCAATAATATTTTTTTTCTGATCTAGTTTCTGGTTACATACCAACTTGTGATATGTCATTAAAAGGGGAATTGAATGCTGAATAAAGCGAAAAGAAAAAAAAAATAGGGTTTCCATTTAAAATAATAAAGTTGATGTTACTTCCGGTCAGACCGGAAGTTAACTTCGACATGTCAATATGCTCAAATTCTAGCTCTTATGTCATTATATCGACGCTCCAAATTTCACAAACCTACTTCATACAATAACTGAGATATTCCGTAGGCAATACTTCCGTAGCCACCCGGTATATGAGCGATAAGGTGAACTACTTTTTGTTGAGTAGCGAAGGGTAGAGATCGGTAATGCAGAATTATTTTCGAAGTTTATTTTTAGATGTTTTCATGTAAGAAGAAAGTTCGCATCAGGGCCGGAACAAATTATTTTATTAATGAATATCACAGTGAGTGATTTTCCTACTTCAGAAAAAAGGATATTCCTAGATAGTTCAGCAAGTACTTGCAGCTAGATGGAGTTTCCCTAGCGCTGCTTACGAACCAGCCAAGAACTAAGGCAAAATTTAGCTTCAACATTTTACATGGAGGTGGATCATCTTGTTAGTGTGAATAATCAAGGGTGTTATGAAATGTGGATGCAACGACATGCTACCGCGCAGGTGTCCCTCTACGGCCTGGAAGAAGCACTCGAGGGCAGGACGAGACAGATACCGTACGAGGCCATTTTGGCTTTGGACGTCGTCATGCGGCATTTGCCGTCCATGAGCTATACGCCGGTGGGTAGGAGCTTCTTCAGCAGCCCTGAGGGTTATTATCATCCATTGGGGGGCGGCAGGGAGGTGTGGTTCGGGTTCCATCAGTCGGTGCGGCCCAGCCAGTGGAAGATGATGCTCAACATTGACGGTAATATTACGGGGTGGCGACCGACGGTCTAAAAACTTACTCAATCTGCCAACTGACCAACTTTCTCCAACTTCCTCAAAATTCCTCGAACTTCCTCGAGCCTATACACCAACCACCAAGTTCCCACGTGATTATCCCTTCAGTTGACATGAATCTATCAGACTAGTCACATAGGTAAGGTTAAATTTGTGATTTTGAAAACTTGAAACCATTTAGAAAATTTTTGAAGCATATTAAATTGGGCATTAGCGTGCAGATCTTTCGTCGTCATCCATCCATCAGTCGGTGAGGCCTAGCCAGTGGAAGATGATGCTCAAGGTTGACGGTATTATTACGGGGTGGCGATGGAGGGGGTAATCACGGCCTAAAATCTTCCTCAATCTGCCAACCGTCCAAAGTTTCTCGAACTTCCTCAAAATTTCACGAACTTCCTCAAAATTCCTCGAACTTCCTCGAGCCTATACACTAACCACCAAGTCCCACGTGATTACTCCTTCAGTTGCCATGAATCCATCAGACTAGTCACATAAGGTTGAATTTGTGATTTTGAGAACTTGAAACCATTTAGGAAATTTTCGAAGTATATTGAAATTGAGAGCATTAGCGTGAAGATCATTTACCATCATCTATCCATCAGTCGGTGAGGCCCAGCCAGTGGAAGATGATGCTCAATATTGACGGTAATATTACGGGGTGGCGTTCGACGGCCTAAAAACTTTCTCAATCTGCCAACTGGCCAAACTTTCTCGGACTTCCTCAAAATTCCCTGAACTCCACCGAACTTCCTCGAGCCTATACACCAACCACCAAGTTCCCACGTGATTACCCCTTCAGTTGCCATGAATCTATCAGACTAGTCACATAAGGTTAAATTTGTGATTTTGAGAACATGAAACCATTTACAAAATTTTTGAAGCATATTAAAATTGAGAGCATTAGCGTGAAGATCATTCACCATCATCTATCCATCAGTCGGTGAGGCCGAGCCAGTGGAAGATGATGCTCAATATTGACGGTAATATTACGGGGTGGCGACCCACGGCCTATAAACTTCCTCAATCTTCCAACTGACCAAACTTTCTCGAACTCCACCGAACTTCCTCGAACTCCACCGAACTTCCTCGAGCCTATACGCCAACCACCAAGTTCCCACGTGATTTCAGTTGCCATGAATCTATCAGACTAGTCACATAAGGTTAAATTTGTGATTTTGAGAACTTAAAACCATTTAGAAAATTTTTGAAGCCTATTGAAATTGAGAGCATTAGCTTGAAGATCATTCACCATCATCCATCAATCAGTCAGCGAGGCCCAGCCAGTGGAAGATGATGCTCATCATTGACGGTAATATTACGGGGTGGCGCTTGAAAGCCTAAAAACTTCCTCAATCTGCCAATTGACCAAACTTTCTCGAATTTCCTCAACATTTCTCGAGCCTATACACCAACCACCAAGTTCCCACGTGACTACCTCTTCAGTTGCCATGTATCTATCAGACTAGTCACATAAGGTTAAATTTGTGATTTTGAGAACTTAAAACCATTTTTGTTTTGAAGCATATTGAAATTGAGAGCATTAGCGTGAAGATCATTCACCATCATCCATCCATCCATCAGTCGGTAAGGCCGAGCTAGTGGAAGATGATGCTCAACATTGACGGTAATATTACGGGGTGGCGAATGATGAGTTAATCACGGCCTAAAAACTTCCTCAACCTGCCAACTACTCAAACTTTCTCGAACTTTACCGAACTTCCTCGAGCCTATACACCAAACTTCCCACGTGATTACCCCTTCGGTTACAATGAATCTATTAGAGACTGATCACACACGGCTAAATTTGTGATTTGGAGAACTTTAAACCATTTTGAAAATTTTTGATGAATATTAAAATTGACAGCATTAGTGTGAAAATCCTGAATAAAAAATAAAAAAAGTCAGTTCACTAGACAATTCCTGAAATGTATAATTACTGTAGTGTTAAGTTGACTTGCTATTTAAATCTTCCCTTCCAGACATTATTTATTCAGCTGTTTGACTTTTGCATGAGTGCTTTGTTCTAAGGGTCACTTTTTTTCACTAAATAAAGGATTAATTTATACCGTCTGTCTATGAATCTCTTAGACAAATCATAACTTATTGAAGGAGTATCAAAATTATATTTGGTCTATGTGAATGGTATGTCAAGGTGAGAGTGATCATATATTTTTCACATTCCGGTTACTTCCGATTTCACCGGAAATGGCTCCGGCTTGAAATTTTTAAATGAAACATCCTATATATTCTAACAAGTTTGGATTTACAAGAAAATTCTGGAACAGAATGTTCCTTTTTTAAAAGATTTTAGGCCTTCATTTTTTAGTGTCACTCTTAACACGTTGACTGCCGGGCTCATATACACACTGTTGGTATCAGAGCCGAAGCAAAATCAAAAATTTTGTCCCAGAAACCATGAGTGACTCTATGTAGCTGAACCCTACAGAAGATAGTATATCGTTGAAATTCTTGAAAATTGGGACACTGGATCCAAAAAATTGAAGAAATTTGGCTCGGTATTATAGACCGAGTCGGCGCTCGTTTATACATGTATACCCGTGTACGCCGCGTCGGTCCGCCAGCTCGGTCCGTCCGGGTTCGGCCTCGGTCTAGTGCTGTGTCTGATGAGGACGATATACAATATAAACTTGTCACTGAAGCCGTCTTGGTCGCTCTCCGCGATATTATTAACAATAATTCAGACCTACGGCTTCACGGGCGGTTCAATTGACTCGGTCCTATAGGCCGAGCCGGCCTGGTGTATCAACTCCAATCTTGGTCTATGAGACCGAGGCGGCACGTCAGGATATTTTTTTCTCGGTCCAATAGACCGACATGGCAGTCAACGTGTTAATAATGTTTCTAGGTGGCCATGATCGGACGTAAACTAATCTAAGAACATTTTCGCGTCTCTTATTTTCCAAATGGGGACCATTTCATGACTATCACTTTCCGAAAAAATGAGTTTTTGATGAACCTAACAAAAAATATAGATGGCAACGTACATTCAAAAATAACAGAGATAATCAGGCTATAAACATTCATAAATCATGATTCATCATGCTCGTATTTGTCCGTTGAATGAATCTTCTGATTATTCAACGTTTTGGTACTCGGCAGGAAAGTAATTTGAAAAATGCATTTGTTAATAGATATTCTCATTTCATAGATAAAAAAATGCCGAAACATGTCGACTTTTATCTGTAGGGACACGTTTTTTAGGATTAATTTGTTATTATTCTACTATTTTCTACAAGCGTGCGTGATTCATTCTATGCAAAATTTCTCATTAAAATTTAAAAAAATATTCCTAACACGTTAGGCAACGCATTTTGTGTAAATCGGTGTTTTCCTAACTGATTACGTATATATCTATTTCAGTGTCGGCCACTGCATTTTACAAAGCGCAACCTGTGATTGAATTTATGTGCGAAGTACTTGACATAAGGGACATAAATGAACAGCGGAAACCGTTAACAGACAGCCAGCGTGTCAAATTCACGAAAGAGATAAAGGGACTCAAAATCGAAATCACCCATTGTGGGACGATGAGGCGAAAATACAGGGTGTGCAATGTTACCAGGAGGCCAGCTCAGATGCAATCGTAAGTGAATCGGTTAAACTGTGTTGTTTTGGATTTTCAAACCAATAGCAATAGTTGATTAAATACAGCTTTTTCAATAAAATTCAGTATTACTGTGACTATTCCATTCTTATTTTTGAGAACCAATCAGAATCGCGCATTTTCACGATATCTACTACTATCAGCCGCGGCATTCAATCTACTACATTGCTGCCTAGTAGAACAAATAACTAAATTTCTCAAATTGGCGAAAAAATGTCTTCCAGAATACTTGTTTCGAATTTTTTCATATATTTTTTTCATTACCCAACTTTATTATCTGATGCAAAAGCCTTAACTAAAAACGAATTAGATAAAGTCATGACGGATTCCTGACTGTATCAAATTGGTTCGTTTCATATTTTTGCCAAATGAAAAAACAATTAATTTTTTAGATTCCCACTTCAGCTGGAAAACGGTCAGACCGTCGAATGTACCGTGGCCAAGTACTTTTTGGACAAATACAAAATGAAATTGCGTTATCCCCACTTGCCCTGCCTTCAAGTAGGACAGGAACACAAGCACACTTATTTACCACTCGAGGTCTGCAACATTGTGGCCGGGCAGAGGTGCATCAAAAAGTTGACAGATATGCAGACTTCGACCATGATAAAAGCGACGGCCAGGTATGTTTTTTTCTTCAGGATGATATTGATTTGAAAGCACTTTTTTTTTGAATGTCAGTCATATTTTGGCACGCACGGAATTAGAATTCATTAAAATAGACAGATCCAACAAGTATTGCCTCAATACAAGTTGGATAATAACAAGATATTACCAATTTAAAATTTTCTGTATTTTGAAAGAATTTTATTACGGTCCTGGCCGTACTGTCGACAAGCTTGTGATTTATGATTTATGATTTATGGTGAGTGTCGCCAAAGTGCAGCAGCAGTATTCCGTTTGTGTGCGGATAGATTTTCCTCAAGAAATCATCCAACACCGCGAATATTCGTTAATTTGGTGCAAAGGTGTGGTGACACAGGGTGTTTGAAGGAACAATGGTGAGGACGTGGGGAGGCCTGTTTGAATGAAAATTTTTAGCCGTTTGAAAATTACCGTGGTGATATTGATGATTCTAGCACCTTAAAATCGACCGAAAAAATTCACATAAATATGGAATTGAAAGGCAATCAAGTGATGATTTTATTAAAGAAAAATAGTCCACTTGTGACTTCGTTATTTTGCAATTTTTAGGTAGTACATTTTCGGTGATATTATCTATTATGATGAGTTCTACATCTTGTTATAAGAAATGCGTTCCAGAACACCCTGTATTTTATGTAGAATGGCAATATTTGATTATAACAACATGAAACTGGACTTTCATGCGTATCCTACCAGGCACGGTGAATTGATAAGGCTTCAGAAACATTCAAGTCGTTTGTATTGTTAAGAAGTATAAATGCCTAGGAATTAACACCACTCAAACTCCCGTTCATTTCAAGACCTTTTACTATTGTCGCAACTCAGATGGTTCTAGTAGGTTATTTGGCACTATTGAGAACAAACGGCGCTTCCACCACGTGTCGTAACTCAGATATTGACCCTCCTATAGGTCGTGACTTAGCTACTCACTTGGCTTCTTGATGAGAGGTTTTGATCATTTTACCACCCAACTATATTCATCCCCAAATAAAGATAATTGTTTTTCATGAAAACGTACAAATGTGCCAAAAGGGCGAAACAGCAAAGAACAAACATGAAACGAGCAAACAACAGAAACTAGATGATGGTTCTTGGTACTCACATTATGTTATGGGCAGCAGCACCAAAGTCGAGGAGATGTCTCACCCCGAAAGTGGCATAGTGCCACTTTGAAAGTCAGCAATCAATGAATGAGTAATGCCTTGTGTTGATAATGAATTATGATTGAACTTATAATGACTTGTGTTCATAATGCATTCCGATAGACCTAATAATGACCATCCTTATCGATTCGGATTCTATTTATATTTTAAATCGATGCTAGATTCGCAATTTTCCACAATGGGAACGGTCGTTACCTTTCGATACCGCTTACCTAGGTATTATCGTGCGGTAAGCGTTTTCTTTACAAATTATAAAGGAAATGACGTCTATGAACCCCTCTGACCTGATCGAAACTACAATGTACTGAATGTTTTAATTTGAATATGTTAATTTATAGTAAAAGGTCTTGAAATGAACGGGAGTTTGAGTGGTGTTAATTCCTAGGGATTTATACTTCTCGACAGTATGAAAGGAGACAAAATTCTATAATCACTTATCTGATCAAATAAAAAAACTTACACAGACGAGAAAATCATTTCAAAATTAAACTCAAAGAATTTCTGATTAACGGTTGTTTTTGTATTGGCGAATATTTCAATCAATTGCATTCATATATCTTCAATTAGTTTGTGGTACTGTGAAAGGTCACAGACTGAATATTCTGTGTACTGTGGTTCTGTGATATTTACATGTATCTGTATAAAGATTGTGTGTGAATCTCTTGTTATTCTATTTATGATCGTGAAGGATTCAATAAATTTCTAATGTGTGGTCTGCATAAATCACCAGGTCAGCGCCGGACAGAGAACGCGAAATCAACAACCTAGTGCGCAGGGCGGACTTCAACAACGACGAGTACGTCCAAGAGTTCGGCCTGACCATCAGCAATAACATGATGGAGGTGCGAGGCAGAGTGCTGCCACCGCCCAAGTTGCAATACGGGGGCAGGGTGGCATCGCTCAGCGGACAGGTGGGCTGGCACGTTAGTTTCCCGTTGTACTTATTATTTTTTTTTATTTTTAAGGATGCCGTCTTTAGTTCGATTTTGGTGGATTAGATCCCTGTTTCTTTCACATCGACTGCTCGATCTTACTCCTGCGTTATTTCCTGGATGTCCAGGTACCAGGAGTTATTGTTCTGTATTTATTGCTCAAAATACAAACAGATACAACTCATGCTATTGTACAGGTAGGCGGGGCCTAGACAATTTAATCGCGCTGGGAAGTCGGAGCTATCGATAAACAAGTATTATTGCTCATAGGGGGGCGGGGCCTAGACAAATTCTCAACACTGAGAAGGCAGGGCAATCGGAGAGCAAGTATCATTAGTGCAGCACACAAGTGGGCGGGGCCTACAAAATATCTTCACGCTGAAAGGGCGGGGTATTCAAAAAACAAGTATCAAAAGTTGCGTTTTATTCATTCCCTTCTGGTAACGGTGGTGGGAACAGAATGATGTTTACAAATAACACGAGAAACTTCATCACCTGGCATTAGATAATTGACATATTATAGCTGATAGAGGTTATATTCATATATTGGGGCTCCGAATTATTTCAAAATCATAGTAATAGATTTAAAAATCAAGAGGATGAAAAGAATGAATCAATGCATATTTGCAGCAGTGATTGTGGTGCTGAGATCGAGATAATTCATTTCCTCTGGGATCGAAGATATGAAACCTGTCTTACTAGAAAGAATCATAAACTTGTGAATCTCACGATAAACATGTCTTCTAGTCTTCTGTTTCAAAAAGTTTCGTTTTTCTTCAATCTAATTCCATTTTTGACAACCGTCAACAGTCATTACACGTCATTCCTTGTAGTGAGACGGAATGAGAAGTAGCAACCGGAATCGGTAAGGTTGCTAATAAAACGACACATTAAAGTGATTCCGGTGGCGGAATCGGATAATCAAAACGCAACTATTAGTGCAGCACACAGATGGGCGTGGCCTAGAAAAATTTTTCGCTATGAAAGGGCGGGGCTATCGAAAACCAAATAGCATTAGTGCTGCACACAGGTGGGCAGATTCTTCGCGCTGGAAGAGCGGGGTTATCGAAAAAAAAAGTACCATCAATACAGTGCACATGTAGGCGTGGCCTATGCATATTCTTTACAGTAAACGGACGGGAGCCTCAAAAAACAAGTATCAACTAATACAGCACAGAGGTGGGCGGAGCCTAGGCATATTCTTTCCGCTGGGAGGGTGGGCCCATCGAAAAACAAGAATCATTAATGCAGCAAACAGGTGGGCGGGGCCTAGAAGAATTTTCGGGCGGCAGTGTTTCAAATCTTGTTTTTGAAGACGACTATATCGTATATAAGGATGACAAGTAATGTGAAAGAAATATGGTTTAGATGTCTGTTGTCTGAATGCAGTGTGTAGATTTTAAGCAAAATCAAAGTAAAGAAACAGTAAACAACATGATAATCGACACTTTTCAGAAATTTGAATGTTGAATAGGTGAATTTGGTAATTGAAAATTACAAATGAGTTCACTAATTTTGAATTGATCTTCATTTGTTTCTTTCCTCAACGTGGTCTGTGTTGATAATGGCCTTGATAGTTATTTGTTGTACACTTTGAAATAAATGTTTTGAGTTCATTAAGTATTTTGATGGGTGTGTTGTGTGTTTTTGTGTATCCAGAGTAATGCTAGTTTATTTTATCTCTTAGACTTTTAGAGCATGAAAGGTAATATTAGTTTGTCTAACTTTTCCAGAGCAAACAACAAGCGATGCCGAATCAGGGTGTTTGGGATATGCGAGGAAAACAATTTTTTACCGGAGTCGAGATTCGTGTGTGGGCTATCGCATGTTTTGCTCCGCAACGTACCGTAAGAGAAGACGCTCTTAGGTAACCACATTCTCCTTATTTTTATATGACTAATTTCATATTTGCATCGAGTGTACTTTATTCAGAAGGATCTTTTTTAAGGAATTTCACTCAGCAGCTTCAGAAGATCTCCAATGATGCAGGTATGCCAATCATAGGCCAACCTTGTTTCTGTAAATACGCCACTGGTCCAGATCAAGTTGAGCCGATGTTTCGGTACCTGAAAACCACTTTCCAATCGTTGCAGCTTGTCGTTGTTGTTTTACCAGGAAAAACACCTGTGTATGGTAAGCTGTATTGTCAATTTCAATACTGTCATCGATATTGATGATTTTATTTGCAGCTGAGGTGAAGAGGGTTGGCGATACTGTGCTAGGAATGGCCACCCAATGTGTTCAAGCTAAAAACGTCAATAAGACATCACCGCAAACACTGTCAAATCTATGCCTCAAAATTAATGTTAAGCTTGGTGGCATCAACAGCATTTTAGTCCCATCGATCAGACCAAAGGTGAGCAATTTTGTTTGAAATGCAAATTCTTGATGGTTGTCGGTGGATAGATAGTAACATGATCTGTCACTTTGAGCAACTTCTGTAGATTTCAAGCTGGAAAATCCGTAGGATTCATTAATGACAATGGCGAAGTTTCTGATATTGAGGCTTTCATCTCACTCTGAAGTTTGTACAAAATTAATATATACGTATTTTTTCCTTTTTTTGGTAAGATTAAATTTCATTTCAGAAAAAAAAATGAAAAAGGCCCTTGGCTCCTTCACCATTCCTATGAAATGCCACATTTACACAGAGTTAAAATACGAGTTCCTGTGTCAGTATGACGGTGCTGGCATCAATATGTCTAGATTTCCGGAAATTGTTCTTTGAATACATTATAAATATTTATCATAACAGCAACGAACCTGTGATCTTCCTTGGCGATATACTCTTGCTTTTACACAACAATAATTATTGTTTCTTGCAGATATTCAACGAACCCGTGATCTTCCTCATTGATATACATTTTTTCCACTTACGAAACTCTTTCCTTGCATATATTAAACAAATTCATCATCATCTTATTTGGCAATATACATCTTTTCACGTACTGAACGCTTTCTTTGCAGATTATCAACGAACTCGCGATCTTCCTCAATGATATTTCCTTTTTTTTTTCACGCATCAACCGATCTTCTTGCAGATATTCAACGAACCTGTGATCTTCCTCTGCGATATATATTTTTTTATTCATCAATTGTTGTTTTCTTGCAGATATACAAAGAACCCGTGATCTTCCTCATTGATATAGATTTTTTTCACGTACGAAACGCTTTCCCTGCAAATATTCAACAAATTCGTTATCTCCCTCGGCTATATACATTTTTTCATGTACTAAACGCTTTCTTTGCAGATTATCAACGAACTCGCGATCTTCCTCAATGATATTTCATTCTTTATTCACGCATCAACGGATCTTCTTACAGTTATTCAACGAACCTGTGATCTTCCTCTGCGGTATATATTTTTTTATTCATCAAATGTGTTTTCTTGCAGATATTCAATGAACCCGTGATCTTCCTCATTGATATAGATTTTTTTCCCGTACGAAACTCATTCCTTGCAAATATTCAACAAATTCGTCATCTTCCTTGGCAATATACATACATTTCACGTACGCATCAACCGATCTTCTTGCAGTTATTCAACGAACCTGTGATCTTCCTCTGTTGTCGGAAGAGCAATTAATAGTGATTCGTCACTATTAAAATTGAACTTCGCCCTTTATTCTCACTCATAAATATGTAATTGTTCATAAAATAATATCTAAGAGAATAATAAAGACATTTATTATCATTATTATTATTAGTATATATATTTTTTTATTCATCAAATGTTGTTTTCTTGCAGATATTCAACGAACCCGTGATCTTCCTCGGCGCCGACGTCACTCATCCCCCTGCCGGCGACAACAAGAAACCTTCGATAGCCGCCGTGGTGGGTTCGATGGACGCTCACCCGTCCCGTTACGCCGCCACTGTTCGCGTCCAGCAGCACCGACAAGAGATCATACAGGAGCTCAGCTCGATGGTCAGAGAATTGCTGCTCATGTTCTACAAATCGACAGGTAAACACTCATGATGAATTCGATGGTATTTTTGCATTAGGGCGAATATGCCTATAGATGCTTTCGAGAAATACGGGACAAACTGTTCCAGATCACGTCAGCAAGGTGTTGGAAAAATGTTCACAATTTAGTGTGTCATTTTGGTTGGTGAGCATATTTTATGATGAATTCGATGGTATTTTTGCAAAAGGGCGAATACGCCAAATGACTCTTTCGAGAAATATGGGAGAAACTGTTCCAGATCACGTCAGCAAGGTGCTGGAGAAATTTTCACAATTTAGTGTGTCATTTTGGTTGGTGAGCATATTTTCCTTGAGAAAACTGAGGAAAAGTTGAAAATATCGTTGTAAAACACATTTTTGCGGATAGTTGCCCTTTTGGTGAATCACACTTTTGAACTTGGTATACTCGCTCCTAAATTTGATAATATAAATTACATTCGCCCATCGTTGTCTGCATTTCGCACTGGTGAAAAAATAGCGATGATTTCCAAAAATATATTCTGGAAAAATACAGAAAATAAAAAAAACTATGTTTTATCTCAGAAGCTACTGGTCACAATTATTAGATTCGTCTTGTCTATCCGTTTCTGGCGAAACATCCTGAATATCAGATTTATAGGTTATAGAAATGAACTCTTGGTGACTGAATGAAGAGGATATTTCATTCTGAAAATGCACTCACCTCAGTGGACACTACTTCTTTTGAAGAATTTGTTTCCTCGCATATTCGTGGAAGGCATGAAGGCAACTACTGCCTGTGTTATAGTCAACACTACTTGATGTAGCCCCACAAACAGTCAGTCGCTACATCACGTTCATCGTGGTGCAGAAACGGCACCACACATTCCACATTCTACATGGTTTCCATTTCGACCCGATTTGAACGAGGCATCTTTAAATTTTTTAGGACCCGAATTACACTGACGTTTTCATGAAAATTGGCAATTGATATAACCTCTATGCATACCTACATTGTTTCAACAATACGCTGTTATAGAAACAAGGTATCCTTGTTTGTATTTGTTGATGAGATGTGTTGATTTATTGCTCACTAAGGTAGAAAACTTTCATCATAGACTGCGAAGTAATAAATTATTGATTGTTTTTGAGTGACCCGGTATACATATCTGCTCCAACGATTTCCTGAAATGCATAAAAGCATCCATTTATGGAACTTCTCTGAAATTAGTCCATTTAAAAAAAATGCTAAAAAATTTTTTTTGTTTTGGAAACCACAATAGTTTTTGGCAAAAACTCGAAAACGTCCCGAGGTATGGTTGCTATTTATGAAATGCCTGAATAAAATATAAGCATCGTGGTCTTCCGACAAAATGGGGGGGCGGAGAAATTGGTTTCAAAATGCACGAAACTTTGTTTCACCCTGTATCATGGATCCTGATCAATTCAGAAGAAGCTGTAAGGAACCGTTCGAAAGACGATGGAAAAGGCATTCAGAATCTGGGCGGCAATTAAAAATTCGTTCAATATTTCAGAAATTACGAGAAGTCAAACTTGATGCCAAATTTCACTATTAACGTTTCAATTGACGCCCAGTTTAGTTCATTCAATGTCATTGGTGATTTTTGTGGTACGAAATTCTATTTAATTGGCCAATGATTGGACTATATCCATTGAGCCCGAATCATGTTCCTTTCCTGCTGGTCTGTGATCCGTTTATACAAGTTACGTTGGTGTTTTAGATTTCCACTTATGAAGAACTCATAATCTTTGATTATCCACACTAACAAGGTGATCTACCTCCATGTAAAACGTTGAAGCCAAATTTGGCCTTAGTTCTTGACTGGTTTGTAGGCGGCGCTAGCGAAAATATTGTCGAGTTGTCTATTATTTCAGAATCTGCTCGAGACCATCTATCTGCAAGTTGCTGAACTATCTAGAAATATCCTTTCGGAAGAAGAAAAATTACGAATTTTGATATTCTGAAGGTTTCAAACAAAAATATTCAAATCCAGCCCTGATCCGAACCTCGACCCTCCTTCTTGCATAAAAACATACATTTTGTAACAGAATATCCTCAGGGGGAGTTTCAGGTCGCGAAATGAGTCGTTATAGAAAGTATGTGGTTTTATTTTGCCAATCACCCACCAACGTGGTTAAGTGTAATGTGGTATATGAAATCTGGAAGATGTACATAAGGCACCATTAAAATACGTTAAAAATATAAAGAGTAACTACTTATCCTGGCACTAAGTCGGTGCAAAACAACACTTTATATAAAAGCAATATTCAAACACACTGTAACTAAGAGCTACCATCAATCACAAATGCCCACAAAACCAAAAAGATGAGCTCGAACGAACGATACCAAGTGCGTTTTTTGCCTTAGCGCCACAAGAACAAGGGAAGATCTATTTAAAGTTTTCCAAATGAACACTCTTCCTCCATCTATAGGATTACCACGAAAGCAATAGCAAATCATAGGTAGGTAACTGGCACAAACACTGATTCCTCAGAAAATGCGATACTTATACAGGGCGTTCTGCTTCAATTTCAAATATATTCTGCATTACCGATCTCTACCCATTGCTATTCAACAAAAAATAGATCATCTAGGATTTCTGGCATAATATGTCCATGATGCATTGCAGGTGGCTACAAACCACATCGGATAATCCTGTACAGGGACGGCGTGTCCGAAGGCCAATTCTTGCAGCTGCTCCAGCACGAACTGACCGCCATTAGAGAGGCGTGCATCAAGCTCGAGGCCGACTACAAGCCCGGCATCACGTTCATCGTGGTGCAGAAACGGCACCACACGAGGTTGTTCTGCTCCGACAAGAAGGAGCAGAGCGGCAAGAGCGGCAACATACCGGCCGGGACTACGGTGGATGTGGGCATCACGCATCCCACGGAGTTCGATTTCTATTTGTGCAGTCATCAGGGTATTCAGGTGAGGAGCAGTTCGATATTGACACCTTAGACTTGATATCAATAGATAGACACCGCGATTCATTCATAAATCATTCTATCTAAACCTATACGCCAAACACGGATAAATGATTGAAATCATGAATGGTGGGGATAACTGTGCGGAATCATTGCCTGAGAATAATTGATATACTTTATATATATTTTTTATATATCTCTAATTGTGTGTATGTGCTTCATTCAACATAAATAATTGGTCATTATGTAAAGTCCTAGTGAGGTTATTTGAAATTTTCAATATTTTAAACACGTTTTTCATCAACAAAAGCAAGCCCTCAAACAAGACCGCCACTGGAACAAATTTCTACATACCTGTGAAATATCAGGTTAGATATTTTTAACTTACTTTTCCTTACAGATTTGACACCGAAAAATGCGAAAATAACGGTCCATTACCATTCTTGGATGTTTTTGTGATCACAAATGGCAAAAACAATTTAGAATTTGATGTTTTCAGAAATGAAACTAACACACTTAGATACATAACTAATGACTCCAATCACTGTTTTCAACACAAAATGGCAAGTTTAAATTTCCTAGTAAGACTTGTTTCATTTCCTCTGAGCAAACAAAGATTTGATGTTGAAAGGAGTGTCGTTTATAAAGTGGCTGGCGTTAGTGGTTGTGATATAAAAATAGTAGATAAATTAATACATAGACATAAATTCAACACTTAGGAATTCTACGACTTTTCAAGCGGATAAAAACAATCCGAGAATCCCGTTCAATCCCAAGTACACAAGAGGACTTGATAAGGTTTTCAAAGAATTAGGTTTTGAAATCGTTTATCAGTCTGGTTCAAAGTTAGGCAAGTTATTAGGCAATCCAAAAGATAAGGTGGACACACTTGAAAAGTCAGGAATATATGAAATTAGTTGTAAGGATTGTGATAAAACATATATAGGCCAAACCAGGCGTCCCATAAAAACAAGGTTCAATGAACATTTAGCACATTCGAAATATGGCAGGTTAGATAAATCGTGTGTTAGAAAATTGGATGCCTATGAAAGCTCAGAGATATTAAGGAATAGTAATATGGAAATGAATAAGGATAATAGACCTATCCCATTTAGCCTTCTGTATAGTTGAGTAATATAACATGTGAACTCAACCATGAATAACGATTTTTCACATCCTATAACTCTGTAATTATTACTGCTAGACCCCAAGTATTATAGGTCAATGACATCAGCTCTCCAGGAGGAATCTGAAATTGAATAATATACAGGGTGTCCCCGGCAACGTCGCAGCACTGGAAGCGCCAAGGAACCAAATTTTCAAAATAATTGTACGTTGCGTTCTCCAGAAACGTCTAATGTACAGTCGCATTAAAAAAAAGCGTACAAGTATATTACAGAGAGAAATTAACGTCATCCTATTCTGCATAAAACGGGCTATCGGGAATTACTTACCAAATGTTGACAGTAACGTTGTCATAGGTTCTCAAAAACACAAAACATTGGTTGAGCCAGTTGTACACAACTAGAACTAGGATCCCGAAAAAAATATAGGGCCGGGATTGGCGCAGTGGAAGATCGTCCGTCTCACGACCGCAAGGTCGTGGGTTCGATTCCCAGCACGAGCAAAGAACTTTTTTCAATATTTCATTCACGAATTAAATATTGTAAAGTTTCGGGGCATCGGCTGGGGATAGTTCTGCACGATTCGCTGTTGCGTTCCAATTGACAGTGCTGCTCCTAAAGTGGCGCATGGATTTAGTAACAAAGCCTACAAAGAACATGCAAAAAGAGATGATGATGTGGTTGTGAGCATCAGGGAAGAAGTAAGACGGTGTATGTAGGTGGGTGTGGAAAACTACCAGCTGAGCGTGAGAGCGGATCAGCTGCTTAGTGAACCTCGGTTTCTAACGGGGGTTAACGAGGATAGCTAGCAGGTCTGCCACTGCAGCATATGGTAGTGAGTACATTACTAGCCTACAAAACCAAGCTGAAAAACTCTGAAAGAGAGCTGATGGGCGGTGCCTGAAAAGGATGTTTGCCAGCTCTCTTAAGCGAACCACATCAGTCATTGAAAAAACTTTGGAGTTTGCAAAAAGGTCCCATTAGGGACTAGTTGCTGACGTGCAAACGTCCCCCACCAGTACCAGTACCAGGATCCCGAAATCCTCTCTTTTTAATACTTGTACGCTTTTTTATTGAATACGACTGTATCATTCACCGTGAATCAGCATGTATATTGACATGAACAACTATACTTGATGTAGTTGAATTTTCATCTATGATCATTCGTTTGACGTATTATTATTGGCAAACATCGTTTTTAGGGTACATCTAGACCGTCCCACTACCACGTCCTCTGGGACGACTCCCATCTGGATTCGGACGAGCTGCAATGTTTGACGTACCAGCTGTGCCACACGTACGTGCGTTGCACGCGGTCCGTCTCCATCCCCGCCCCCGCCTACTATGCCCATCTGGTGGCGTTCCGGGCTAGGTACCACCTGGTGGAGAAGGAGCACGACAGGTACTATCGCATTTTATTATCTCTACGGCAGCCTGGCGATCACGACTAAATAACAATAGACGCCACAGTTCATTTACAAATCATTGAAAAGTATACGCCGGTATTTCTATTAATATGTTATGTGCATCAATCAACTCAACTCACACATGTTTCAACATAAATAATTGGTCATTTTGTAAAGTGTTATTTGATATTCTCATTATTTTAAACACCTTTGGCTTTTTGATCTGGATATTTATACTGTATTACACATACAAAATATTTTTGTCATCATTTTTGTTAGCAGATTTGTCATCAAATTTAACAGGTGTCATACAGCCTTAAGGAAGGAAAATATTCTTTTCTGCATAAGAAAGGAGCCTACCTTTTCCTAACTACCTAACTACTTAATCACTATAGAGAACATAAATGACTTCTTTTTTAAAACAATATAACCTTACTCGACCTAAGTGAATAATCTAACCTCACTTTGCCTAAATGAACCTTCATAAAAAGTATATTGTTCGTAAAATTACTTGAAAGAACAAATGAGACCCGTTTGTTCAAATAATCCAATTCGACCCGTTCGTATTAACACCCTCATTCTAGAATGTATATTCATTTTCAACAATCGAAAATTGGGTGAATCGAAAATTGGGTGAATTGAAAATTGGGTGAAACGAAATGTTGGCCCAACGACATATTGGAATGTGAATTGATTGTTGATAATTCCCGTTTCATTGAATCCGAGGAAATGTGGCATTATTTGACAACAACGCATTATTCCGGTATGTTCGGAGACGGTGGGTGAATCGAAAATTGGGCGAATCGAAAATTGGGTCAAACGAGACGTTCCCGCCAAAATTTCATATTTTCTCGAATCCTACACACTAGCCAAAATTGCATACCTTAGGAACTCCGAAAACCATTACTTGTCTAATGGATTCGTAAGTGGTTCAAAATCCATGAGAAGCTATGTAGTCGTCTAGCACTTCTCAACTATGCATGAACATGTACATTCAGACTGTACATTCAGACTTGGGCTTTCAACTTTGAAGAAGTGATACACGAACAATATATTCAACTCTTTGATATTGATACATCAATATCTGGTACATCAGAGTTCCACAAAGTGACTATATGTTTTCACAAAATTATTATAGGAGTTCGTATACGAAGATGATCTAAAGAATTCTTGGTTGAACAGGGATGTGAAATCAGTTTGAGTCAGTCAATTCAGAAAGTTTCTGCTATTTCATCATCAGATTATCTCCATGGTGGCTATTGTGATCTCTGCTCCATCATTCCATCACAAGCAATACCCAGAGTCTAAATTGGAATAAGGTTCTTTTTGATACTCGCTCAGTTCATAAATTGTGGGTTCGGCTCTTTCTCTCAATACGATCCTATTCTTCAACTTCCTACAAAGAAATTTGAATACCTCGCAAATTTTGTGGCCTGAACTTATATCCCTTTCTCCTAATTCTCTCAATTTGTCAAACCTTTGGAATTTATGTCATGTACGTCCGTGTACTGTCAGTTCCCGCTTTTTCCATCAATTTATTTGTGGTTCTGTTTGATTGTCACTGCTTGTCTAGTGTTCGTACTCTAATATACAAAAAACGTCAAAACAGCAGTGTCAAGAAAATTTAGGAACTCTATACTTGTCTAATGGATTCGTTGACGCCTGGTCTACTATTTTTCTTCTCGAATCCCACACACCAGCCGAAATTGCATACCTTAGGAACCCCGAAAACCATTATCTGTCAATACACTATCAGAGTTTGGAGAATATACATTATATACAAGATATATCGCTTCAGAGTTTGCTATTTCTGCCCGGATAAATCTGAAAAATGATGAAAAGTGTATCACTAACGTTATCAAGCTTCATATCATTAAAAGTACTAGCACCAATACTACCAGTTGAAATAAACAATACGATGTCTATATATGAAAAGATATAATTTTGACTGAACATTCTGGCAACGCTTTAATGAGTGAAGTAGAAACAGAAAGGTAGGTAATGGCACAGTTTAAGGAAATACCCATTCCTTAAACTGTGGTAATGGCATAGATTGTAGTGGTGATGGAACTAGAACCACGATGAAACATGGATATCAACCAACCTATATGGATTTTTTCGTATTCAACGAGGAACTGGAAAGTTCAAATCTTGAAACTGAATTTTTACTTCAATTAGCTAGGTACCTTGAAAAGACAAACTAAAATTTAGGTAGCTACACCACTCTAGGTACACCTACCTACAGATATAGAACAACTTGATTAACCCATTAGTGCATGAAGTAACTTTTTTTCAAATCTCTATATTCTGAAGATGTTTACTCATTCAAATATACCCAAAGAATGATAACTCATGACGAATAATTTTTTTTTACAACTGAGTTTTTTCATATGACACGTCCATTTTAATGGACTCTATGCAAATTGGTTCATTGATGAAAGTGATCAGTAGGGAATTTCAGTATTCATTTTTATTCAAGTACATATCCAGAACATGAGAAACTCAATAACATCAATCACAAATCACAATATTATCAATAATAATAATAATGATAATAATAATGAAAATTATACATCATGATGACTTGATACATTTTGAAGCATCTCTCAGACGCAGTCCTATTTTACATATAAAATTGCAATTTTGTATACTCTACTGAATGGAATTCAGCTGATGGGTATATGGAAATGCATCATATCAAGAAATTATTTGGGATGATACTTCCAGACCTTTTTTCGGTGCTCCTCACACGATCCAGTGGAAGGAAATGTGAACCCGTTGAAGAAAAAGAGGAGTCGAACGAGTGGATGGAGTCGTGTCTATAGTTGACGTGCTGCAGTATAACGTACAATCATTTGATGCTATAATATTCCTTTTCATAATGCAAAGATGTATATTATTTTCAATTCCATCAAAATCAGGATCAGAATAACGAAAGTCGCACGGCTGTTTGATAATTCCTTTAGAAATATGATTTATTATGGATTCGCAGTTTCTAAATTCGAATAACTGCATTTCTGCCAACTTTTCTTCTGGAGGCAATATAATATATGATTATCTGTTGGTTGATCGATATCTGAGCCATTTTCGATATGTCTAAGAGGTGTTGCAAGAATGATCTACAAAAAAATCTTGATGACCGATATGCATAGAGTCCATTATAATGGACACAACACAAACGCAATATTTTGAGTGTCTTACAAAAAAATAATCATTCGAATTACCTTATAGGTTCATAAACACATGCATATAATGAGATCTTGAGGGATAGGAAATTCTGAAATTCATTTTTCTCCGTTATAATAAATACTTACCCTCCTTGTCGGGTGCAATACAAATTGTTATCCATTTGATCACGTGCAGCATATTGTCGAGATACAAATTCATGAAATAGAAGCGATAGCTGTTTGTTGTTGAACTACACTTATAGTTCTGGCGCATGAAACATTCAATTCCTGCATGATTGACGTCACAAAAAATTAGACAAGGAGCGTCCATTATAAGACACATTATGCACTAATAGGTTAATGTTTCCGTTAGATCGATTAGTTTGTAACCTTCATTGATTCATGACGAAAAGTGACCGTCTTCGGAATATCTGGATCGCTTTGACAACATGGTCTTGTGCACCAGAGGCGTACCTACCTAGAATTAATTTTCGGTTAAATTCATCCATCTAGGATTGCTTAATAATTTTCGAAATATAGTTATTTATTATACGAGGGAAAAAAGTTGTAGATTATAGCTCGACGTTGTGTTGTCAAAAAACCGTGAGCTATAATCTAATATTTTCCCGTGTACACTGAAATTAGAAAATTACCGACGTGAATTTTGAAGTTTTTAACAGGAATTACACCTGCTTTGCAGGCATCTTTGAAGTAATCAAATATCTGTCAGTGTAATTCTGTGATTTGATTTTGATAAATTGCGAATAAATTGCGTTTGTTTAGTAATTTACGTAACCGCGAAGTGGAATGGGAGATGAAAGGACTTAAAGTTCATTCTCAGAGACCGTGTTATTTGCTTATTTTTCATATTACTAGCACAACAAAAGCCATCAACAGTGTATAAACCTATATATCCAGGGAAAAAGTGCCGAGGGAAAAGAGTAATTTATGAAATGTGACATTTTATAACCTGTCAACAGAGATGAAATATCAAACTATTTCATTTACCGTCGCAGAAAAAAACGATATTTTTCTATCTAGTGCGCGAAATGATACTGGTGGTCGAGAACTGACAAAAATAAATAAACAAATAAAAAAAAAGAATATTCGAGATCACCAAAGTGTATTTCGCGCAAGAGTTGCCATTTCGTTGACACCCGGTCGCGTATTTACTAAATATAAACTATTACAGCACAAGACACGCCCCCTACTACGGCATTGCAAAATATAATCGAGCCCAGCACAATCCTGCAAAATCTAATCTTTGACAGCACAACGTAGCTGATTCATATAAATAAATCGATTGAAAAAGTAGCACATACCACGTTATATCTCATCTTCAAAGTACTTTACTTAGGCAAAACTCGGAGACTATTTATCCTCAACGAACTAACCTATCCCTGATTGCAATATTTTTGAGGAAGGAAAACCGAATGGAGTGTAGAAACACATTGATTAATAATATATTTCAAAAGTTGAGTTCTTCAACAAAATTGAATAAAATGAGACTGTTTATCCTAAACGCACTAACCTATTTGACTTCAAATATTTTATGAAAAAGGAAAACCAGAATGAAGTAAAAAAACATTGGTGAAAAAAAAAAGTTGCAAAAAAAAGTTCGAGTTCACAGCGATTCGAACCATCGACCTTCAGACTGAGAGTCGACAGCACTAACCAGTAGACCATTTGGGTGTATGAATTTACTGCGTACAAGAGATTCACAACGAGAAAGCTTCAGTTCTTGCATTGGAGCACAGTATGAGATATGACGTATTATGGGGGGCGTGTCTTGTGCTGCAATAGTTTATATTTAGTAAAATCGCCACCCGGTCTACTATTTTTCTTCTCGAATCCTACACACCAGCCAAAATTGCATACCTTAGGAACTCCGAAAACCATTACTTGTCTAATGGATTCGTTGACACCCGGTCTACTATTTTTTTTTTGCATTTTCAGCGGAGAAGGGTCCCATCAATCCGGTTCGTCAGAGGACCGAACGCCCGGCGCGATGGCCAGGGCGATAACGGTGCACGCCGACACGAAAAAAGTCATGTATTTCGCTTAAGAAAGAGACGACGATGGCCAAATCACGAGAGTACAAAATGGTATTTTGCGCTCTAATTAGGATAGGTATATTTTAGACCAAATCGGGTGAGCTGTGGCCGGTTTTTGTTTTGAAGGAACCGTCGTTTGCCAGTCATCTTTATGTGTTAGCAAGGTACAATTTTTTTTTTCGCCTAGACTATGGTCTTGAAACCGTACAATATTCTTGTTTTATACAGGGTGTATCTGAATAACACCGAAAAGAGTTGAGGGGTGATTCTGTGATTCTTGAAAATAAACAAAAATGGTTTTTCTTTTTTATTTCCCTTGTATATTAACCTAAAGACACGAAACTTGGTAAATATTTTTGGTCAATAAAGCTACACATTTTGTAATCTTCTCAACCCTGAAGTATGCTTAGAAGGGGTTGAAATGTTCAACCCCTGAGATATTTTGTCTTATAACTGGTTTTTGGACAAAAAAGTTTCTTTTTAAAAAACAAGGCTGATCCCCAAGTTTTCGAAATAACTTTCAGATATATAAGAGCTAGTAAATAAATTTGGCTTCTCAGCGAGGTTTTTTTAAAGAAAAATTTCAAAATGTGTAGTTTCATTTACAAATAATATTCACGAAGTTTCTTTTCTTTAGCTTATTATACAGAAAAATTAAAAACAAATGTTTTGTTGATCTTCGGAGTGGTGTAACTTTTCCGGGAAGAGGTTTATCAAAAAATTGTATATTAAATACCCACCATCATTTTCATCACAGATTCACCCCTTAAATTTTTTTGGTGTTATTTAGATACACCCTACCCTGTATGTTTCCGCACTTGAACATATATTTTTATTGTAGGACAAGATCTATCGAATACCTTGGAAAACATTTTTTTCGTATTTTTTTACGCATTTTTTTTATTAGTCATTCGATAGATGAAATTCAAATATTTTTGAAGGCTATCATACAAAATTCACCAGTTCATTCAACTAATGTTCGTCATAATCATTCATTTACTATACAAGGTGATCCAGAATAATACCGACAAACTTGGCAGGTGATTCATTTAATGACGAGACAAAACTTGTCGCCTTTCTGATGAATCACCTGCTGAAGTTATCGGTAGTATTCTGAAAGACCCTGTCTCACTAGTACAAGAAACTTCAATAATAAACTGTGAGGAATTTTCATCAGGAAGTTCCAGAAGATAAATCGATATGCTTGGTTTTCTTTGCTGCATGTTATTTTGATTCTTATTATGATTTGGAATTTCCATTCAGTAGGTTACTATTGAAGTTTCTGTCTGTTCACCAATTCCACTGTATGCAATATCTGATTGAACTTCGCTTGATTCCAATACCAAAGCTTTGAAACTTTTCCCAACAAATATGTGCCCTATTTTGACCGGCAGGTAGAGACATATTTTCGGACGTGATCTCACCCAACATGCCTTTTGGAGGGTATCATTATGTATATATTATTTTGGTGTTAAAAAATGCAATATTAAAGAATCCACCCGGGTTCTTCATGCAAATTAAGGTTTTTCTTCAATCTGTTGCGTTCATTAACTGTCATTAAGTTTGTTTTTATTAAAGGACTGATACCTTGATGCAGAATTTTGAACTCTTCTTCTTGGTCAAAACATAGTCCTCAGCGTACAGCCCTATGAAAATATTTGTTTTATAACATTCAGTGATCACATAATTACTATAAGAATCATTCATTCATATTGTTTTCAAAGTCTAATTTGAACATACGACTAGAATTTTCAGAATTTACAACCACTTTTTCGAAAAAGAAGAGGAAGAAATTGTTTGTCTGACTTCTGACAGCATCGCGCCTATGCAAGTCACAGTTCCATTTATATTTGTCGTTAAGAGATAAAAGTTGGTCATCTTTTAGCGAAAAATTCAATTCAGGTGCATAAATGAATGAACGGGAATACCAAGTTTTAACTTATTTGTGAAATCGTTAATGATTGTGGAATTACAGATTAATGAAAAACGGTGTGCATAAATCCTCCTCTCAGAGTATCGATACGATTTCAGTCAAGCTGTCTGTGTTCCAAAATAAAATATAAGTGATATGCGTAGTTGGAAATACAAAGACATACCTGTTGCGTAAGCCCAAATCGTAATCACGGTCAGGTGTAGTTGCATTTATTTTTGACCAGAATATTATAAGCTTATATCATCATAGCTAGGCTATCAATAAAGAGGGTCCTAACTCCCTTGGGACATTATAGATTCTATAATTCCCTCTACCTACACATCTTGATAACAGAGTTATGTTAGAAACAAGTAACATAGCAACTACCTAGCAACTCCTATAATCAACAGTACGTGATTCGAATATCGCGGGAAGGCAATGAATTGGTGCATTCATTCCGTTCTGGAAATGAACAAAATTTTGTTAACATCGGTCATGAATAATGCGCCTTAATAACCTTAGGCAATTGCTGTCCCTCATGCCAGAGGATCTCGGTTTCCATCGGTAATTCAGGCTTCTATAATTCCCTTGATACATAATTAACTATTATTTCTGACCATAAGTTTATATCATCATAAAGTCGGGACATCTTGGAAAGTCTACCATAAAACGGTGAGACGAAATGTATAATATGCTCATTTCATTTCAACTTTAACTGCTTGATGGTGATAAGAATGAGTGACAGTTGTCCGACCAGCCCTAATTACACTAAGACTAATGTCTTTGAGAATACAGGTGGGGTGACAAGATTACTGTAGTGCAGATATGTCCGTTCTCAATTCTGTCTAAATGTGAATAGCCAAGATCGGATTTGGAATTATTAAGAGATTAAGCTTCTGTGATCTGGGTATGGTAGAATCAATAGAATTTGTTAACATGAGTAAAAAGAAGTATCAAAATAAACTATATTATAGCTTTATCAGGTACATATTCCAACAGTCGTCAATTTCTCATTGGTATGCGTCTGATGCCGATGATGAATCTTCATTCATATTAATTATAATGGGTAATATTTGGCAATCTAATCAGGCCAGTTTCCGAGTCCCTCTCTGTTAATCTACCCGTTTTTGAAAAGAAGTACCTCTAATCGGCCATCCTTCTCTGGTATAATCAATTCCTCCCTAACGTTAATCATAGCTTAAGTAGGGGACATAACTGGGAGTATCTTAGGTATATTTCAAACAAGTGGATATCGTTTGGATGTATTATGTTGTGTCTCACCAACGTTTTATGGCGGATTTCGCCTTCCGAAAATATCCCGACTATAGTTACGCTATCCCTTGGGACATTATTCTCAGATTCTCTAATTCCCTCTACCTACACAGCTGATAAAACAGTTATGTTAGAAACAAGTAACAGCAACAACCTAGCAACTCCTATAATCAACAGTACGTGATTCAAATATCGCGGGAAAGTAATGAATTGATACATGTATTCCGTTCTAAAACTAAACACAATTTTCTTGAAATCAGTCAGAAATAAAATTATCTATGTACCACGGGAATTAATGAGCCTTTATAAACCTCAGACAATGTTTGTCCCTCGGGCGAGAGGCTTTCGGGACACAAACTTTGCCTTCTTGCCTTGTTTTCAAACAAGCTGCCTTCAAGAAGTATACACGTTTTTGCTATACATATGCTACGGAAGAAATGATATACCGTTTGCTTATTTCCAAGTACACCTAAACCTTGAAAACTTGCCTAAATGCATGAAGAACCCGGGATAATATCAAAATATATATGCATAGTGATACCCTTCAAAAGGCATACTGGGTGAAATCTCGTCCGAAAATCTTTCACTACCTGTCGGTCCAATTGATTCTTTGAACACGATTGTTGATTGTTTATATTAATATTAAGTAGGTTGTAGTTTTTTTTTCTTTCAATTTGATGACTATTTTTTTTACCAATTCCACTCCAGCAGATCTGTCTGCTCGTTAAATGAAGCTTTAAATTAATTTAAGGTCTTTCACGCAACTTCTTCGAACAGAAACTTGATATTTTGGAAATTATGTGCCATTTCAAGTTAGTTCTCTTTAGATAGAATGCATATGCTCTTATGCACAATTTTCTTCCATGTACTGGCTTGATATTTTTTTAATACTGAACCTTAATCGTCAATGTAAATAGACAATAACCTATTTATTAGTATGAATTTTCCAATTTCAAAATGAGATTTATTATATTTCTGTTTGAAGATCTTGTCGAATTTTCCCCTCAGAATCAGAGAAAGTTGTTACAAGAGTTAGTTTTAGGTTTGTGTGTGAATGTCACTGTCGGCAATTTGGATTGGTCAAACACAAACAATAATTTCCAATCCAAAATTCCACTGGTGAAATTCTATTTTTGGATAAATGTTATTCGGTGTATAGCCTTGTTAGTGTCGAGCCACTATACTTTAATATCAAGAATATTTGGTGCTTTACAAGAAAGAAACGATTCTCCAAAGAATCTTAATATTAATCTCTATGGAACATATTATTTATTCATATCTTGAATTGAGTCAAAAGGATAATTATTATCGTCAACCAATATACAAATATTATTAGGTAGCATTATTTTTCCTGTACCAATAGTTTAGACAATAATCGGAGAATTGCAGTGTCCTTCAAATTAATATGGTTGATTTTCAATCAACAATTGTTCAATTATCCAGATTTTTGCGTATTTGAATGTTTGAATAATCAGCCCTAACCACTGATAGCCTGGCGGATACAAAAAATGGAAGCGACATTATCGATCTCTCTTTTTTTTTGACAAATCCACTGACTATAGACTGTGATGAAAAGTGTCTGAAGACGAAAAATACTTGCCTTCAAAAATAGTCAATTTTTCATTCGGAAATTATTACGTATATGTAGAGGTCAACGAAAAAAAGTTGTTTTCTCCTAACTTTTCAAACAACTACAATATTCTCGTGTACCTACCTATCTAAAATTCGAAGAATTGCATTTTTCTTTATAACCTGAAAACAAAACACGATGGCAAATTTTTGTTCCCGGAAGGATGAGAATGTCTCTTTCATTTTTATATCTTTAACTGTGATCAAAAAAGCTCACAAGATTTTTCTTGGACTATTTCACTCTTGTTCTGGAGAACCAACCATAATCGACCATTTTCACGGTTTCTCCTGTATTACAGCGATATTTTTTGTATACTGAAATGTATCCACCTTTCTCTACCAATACAGAAGCCGAATTGAACCACACGTGACCAACCAACCTCATTTTCATCGATAAAATTTTTGACGTTTACAACGTCAATTATGTTGGAAGCCAGAATGATGGATGCAGTGTGCGCAACTCTCGCGAGGCGATCGTTTATTGTCTCAATCATGAAATAGTCATACGAATACAACTCCGTGATAAAAACAATCTGTGATTCCAAACTGCATGAAATCATTGGAAGGGTATTACATTATTTGTATAGTTAATAGTAGGTGAATTGGCATGCTCACCAGGATTTTGCAAAATAGAGACATGTATAACGAAAGTTGCAAAAAACATTT